AGTGTGTATGAATACCACGTAAATATGGGGTGCTTTAGAAGTAATTCATCCTCACAGATGCCTTAAGCAGCAAGTTTCTTAAATGTACACAGAACTTTGGAAGTGAATTCAAATTCTGCTCTTTGCCACTTTCACCAATTCCATTCGCCCACAAAGATCCTTATAAATGGGGAAGCTCCCAGCACTTTGGGAGGCTGAGGCGGGTGGATCACTTGAGGTTGGGAGTTCGAGACCAGCCTGACCAACATGGAGAAACCCCATCTCTACTAAAAATACAAAATTAGCCAGGCGTGGTGGTACATGCCTGTAATCCCAGCTACTCGGGAAGCTGAGGCAGGAGAATCACTTGAACCCGGGAGGCGGAGGTTGCGGTGAGCCGAGATCATGCCATTGCACTCCAGCCTGGACAACAAGAGCGAAACTGTCTCAAAAAAAAAAAAAGAAGAAGGGGTAAGCTGAGGATCAGAAAAACAAATGGAGTGAGTAGCCTAAGATCACAGTGGGTTGTGGCAAAGCAGAGAACAGAACTCGATCTTGCCTGATTCCAGAAACTTTAGCAACTCTGCAGGACTGCTTCTGTCTAGGTTGGCTCTCCCCACTTTCATGATAGCTCTGTAACTTTAGTGGCAGGGTTGGAGAATTCTCTGATCCCTGGAAAGCCCATCATTCGGTCCTCATCTGAATTTCGTCCAGAAGTGCTTGAGTAGTAACCATAACTATAGACTGTCCAGAAACTAAACTTATTTCCGTCCCTACTAACCCATCTTTCAGTGTCAGGCCTCTCCAAAGCAGTGTTTATAAAACTCTTTTTTTTTTTTTTTTTTTTTTTTTTTGAGACGGAGTCTCGCTGTGTCGCCCAGGCTGGAGTGCAGTGGCCGGATCTCAGCTCACTGCAAGCTCCGCCTCCCGGGTTTTTACGCCTTTCTCCTGCCTCAGCCTCCCGAGTAGCCGGGACTACAGGCGCCCGCCACCTCGCCCGTCTAGTTTTTCGTATTTTTTAGTAGAGACGGGGTTTCACCGTGTTAGCCAGGATGGTCTCGAACTCCTGACCTCGTGATCCGCCCGTCTCGGCCTCCCAAAGTGCTGGGATTACAGGCTTGAGCCACCGCGCCCGGCCTATAAAACTCTTTTTTTAAAATGATAACTCGGCCGGGCGCGGTGGCTCAAGCCTGTAATCCCAGCACTTTGGGAGGCCGAGACGGGCGGATCACGAGGTCAGGAGATCGAGACCATCCTGGCTAACCCGGTGAAACCCCGTCTCTACTAAAAAATACGAAAAACTAGCCGGGCGAGGTGGCGGGCGCCTGTAGTCCCGGCTACTCGGGAGGCTGAGGCAGGAGAATGGCGTAAAAACCCGGGAGGCGGTGCTTGCAGTGAGCTGAGATCTGGCCACAGCACTCCAGCCCGGGCGACAGAGCGAGACTCCGTCTCAAAAAAAAATAAAATAAAATAAAATGATAACTCATAGTTTTAAAAAATGAATAAATAATTTAAAAATAAACTGATTACATTGGGAGACCCCATCTTTACACAAAATAGAAAAAATTAGCCAGGTGTGGTGGAGGATTGCTGGAGCCCAGGAGTTGGAGCCGATAATGAGCTATGATCACTCCACTGCACTGCAGCCTGGGCACCAGAGTGAGACTATCTCTAAAAATTGAAAATAAATTTAAAAATGTTATAATTGGCCGGGCGCGGTGGCTCAAGCCTGTAATCCCAGCACTTTGGGAGGCCGAGATGGGCGGATCACGAGGTCAGGAGATCGAGATCATCCTGGCTAACACAGTGAAACCCCGTCTCTACTAAAAAATACAAAAAACTAGCCGGGCGAGGTGGCGGGCGCCTGTAGTCCCAGCTACTCGGGAGGCTGAGGCAGGAGAATGGCGTGAACCCGGGAGGCGGAGCTTGCAGTGAGCTGAGATCCGGCCACTGCACTCCAGCCTGGGCTACAGAGCCAGACTCCGTCTCAAAAAAAAAAAAAAAAAAAAAAGTTATAATTAAAGATACTCATTTAAATTGAATAAATTTAGCTTTATGAAAAATTTGCTGTATCATCTTTATTTTGATCCTTTTGTCATAGGCCATTGAAAACTTAATCATAAAATGGTACATGTATATCTGGATTTTTAGGACTGACTGACCAAGGGGACTACAGAATACCCAGTAGAATCAAAGTAATTGTCATGTTCCTCTGTATTAATGTAGTCTACTTTGGGACCTTGAATTCTCACCTCTCATTCCTTTGCTAACTTCCTCTTTACTCTTTAGTTCTGTCTCCTTTTTGTTTTTCAGAGACAGGGTCTTCTTCTGTCACCCATGCTGGAGTGCAGTGGTGCAATCAGCTCACTACAACCTTCACCTCCTGGGCTCCAGTGATTCTGTCACCACAGCCTCTGCTCACTGCAACCTCCACCTCACAGGTTCAAGCAATTCACCTGCCTCAGCCTCCCGAGTAGCTGGGACTACAGGCATATGCCACCACATCCAGCTAATTTTTGTATTTTCATTAGAGACAGGGTTTCACCATGTTTACCAGGCTGGTCTCAAACTCCTGACTCCCAAAGTGCTGGGATTACAGGTGTGAGCCACTGTGCCCGCCTTTTTTTTTTTTTCGAGACGGAGTCTCGCTCTGTCACCGAGGCTGGAGTGCAGTGGCGCAGCCTCAGCTCAGTGCACCCTCTACCTTCTGGGTTTAAGCAATTCTCCTGCCTCAGCCTCTGGAGTAGCTGGGATTACAGGTATGCAGTACCACACCCAGCTAATTTTTTTTGTTTCTTTAGTGTAGACGGGGTTTCACCATGTTGGCCAGGCAGGTCTCAAACTTCTGACCTTAAGTTATCCACCCACCTCAGCCTCCCACAGTGCTGGGATTATAGGCATGAGCCACTGTACCCAGCCTGTGGCTGCTTTTTAGGAATATATTGATAACAACTAATATTGAGATATATTTTAATAGCTATTAGCACTATGCTAAACACATCTTTCACTTTGTAGCTATGAGGATGGTATTTTTTCCATTTTACAAAGGTAGAAGGTAAGGCTTAGAGAGGTAGAGAAATTCTCTTTATGTCATATTAGTAATGATTAGTAGCTTAATATTTAGCACTTAGTATATATCAAATACTTAAAATACTTAAGTTATTTATATGCATTATCTCATTTAATCCTTACAACACCCTTTTGAAGTAGGTGCTTATAAGGCTGTTACCTCATTTTACAGATGAGGAAATGAATGCACACATATATTTAGTGACTTGCCCAAGGTTCATAGCCAATAAGTAGAACTGGAAAACAATCCGGAGAATTGGACTCCAGAGCCTGTATTCCTCTGCATTGCCTCCTGTATGATTTTCTGTCTTTACTATCTAGTAAGTGGGATTACTGAAATTTTTAAACCCCAGTTTAACTCCAGACCCACTAATCGTGGTGACAAAATAATGTTTCCCCACATATGCCACAGAGTATAATGTCTGTGAAGTCACTAGGATCTGCTTTGGAAAAGCGAAAGATCAATTTGAACAAGCAAAGTACAACTCTCAAGCAGTGCTTAGGTTTGGGAGAGAGGTTTTTGCATGCTCTGCCCATGCTAACTCCCCTTTGAATTTCATAGCTCCTTTCTGCTCAGAGTCAGGATGATGAAATGTATTCAGATTTAGACAATTAGAATCTCAAAGTCCCAACTCTTCTCTCTGTTCCCTGCCCCACCAGCAGCTTTCTTAGCCCTCTTAGAAGATAGAGGAGTTGATTCAGTGTATTCTTTCATCAAATATTGATCGCTTGCAGACTTATCCCTTATACCATCCTCTGGAGACTCCTGCATGTCTTTAGAAGGTATACCTTTCTCTGCCTCTAATTTGGAGGGCTACAGCTGTTTGGCCCCTTTGGTGTGGAGGGTAATCTAATCCCTAGGCACCAGCAAGACAGCTGCAGGTTGAGAGTAGGTCAAGCTTACTGACTCTTGATAGGCTTTCAGATTTGGAAAGATGGGAGAAACAAAGTGAAAAAAGTTGTTAATGAAACAAGGAGTTGATAATGAATGTGATCTGTTGGTTGTATTTCTCTCCTTCAACCAAAAATGAGAAAGGATAGATTTTCTGGCAATGGGACCCTGGTTAGATCTTTAGAAATGTCTTATCAGGGAGACCAGTCATATATAAAAGATGTATCAGCATCTACCCTTCTGCCCTTAGGAGGGGTGACTCTTATCCCACACCCCTAGAGTGAATCTCTCATTTTGACAGAGAGCTAAAGAAAAAGGAAAAGAAGGCCAGGCATGGTGGCTCACGCCTGTAATCCCAGCACTTTGGGAGGCCAAGGCGGGCGGATCACCCGAGGTCGGGAGTTCAAGACTAGCCTGACCAACATGGAGAAACCCCATCTTTACTAAAAATACAAAATTAGCCAGGCGTGGTGGTGCGTGCCTGTAATCCCAGCTACTCGGGAGGCTGAGGTGGGAGAATTGCTTGAACCTGTGAGGCAGAGGTTGTGGTAAGCCAAGATCATGCCACTGCGCACCAGCCTGGGCAACAAGAGTGACGTCTCAAAAAAAAAAAAAAAAAAAAGGAAAAGAAGAGCACAGCACCAGGATGCCAAGGAGATACTGGGGATCTAGGGTACCTGTGGGTGGATCTGGATATTCTTCAGGCCAACTAAAGGCTGATCACTTTGTGTGACTCAAACAAAAAACCTTGAAGATATGGTGGGGAATTACTGGGGAATTAAAAACTCTCAGTTTTCAGTCTATCTATTTCAGTTCCCTTGGCAGTTAGAGATTATGTGGTAGGGCAGACTCCAGAAGCAGTTCTTATTTTGCTGTTGCCAACTCTTACCACTGAGGGTCAGCTGCCTGGGACCTTCTCAGAGGTATAACCTGTCAATAGCAGATGACTGCAAGAGCTAAGTCCTCATAGGAGCAAGGAGATGAAGAGATTCTATCCTCCTCTGAAAAGCGATTGCAGCTTCAATGGATGTATGTCTAATTCACTTTTTTTTTCTTGCAGGAGTGTTGAAGCCTGGAAATCCCCTCCCCTTCCCCCCCCCTTTACAGCATTCCCCTCCCTCCACCCTTTCCCACTCTGATAATCTGGCCATGACTAGCAGAAGCACAGCTAGGCCCAATGGGCAACCCCAGGCCAGCAAAATTTGCCAGTTCAAATTGGTGCTGCTGGGAGAATCTGCAGTGGGAAAGTCAAGCCTGGTGTTACGTTTTGTCAAAGGGCAGTTCCATGAGTACCAGGAGAGCACCATTGGAGGTGAGTGTCTCGGGGTAAGAGGAGATTGAATGTTTGGTAAGGGTTTTGTCTTTTTTTTTTTTGATGGAGTCTGTTGCCCAGGCTGCAGTGCAGTGGCACAATCTTGGCTCACTGTAACCTCTGTCTCCCAGGTTCAAGCGATTCTCATGCCTCAGCCTCCCAAGTAACTGGGATTACAGGTGCACACCATGGCGCCTGGCTAATTTTTGTATTTTTAGTGGAGAGAGGGTTTCACTGTGTTGGCCAGGGTGGTCTCAAACTCCTGACCTCAGGTGATCTGCCTGCCTCGGCCTCCCAAAGTGCTGGGATTACAGGCGTGAGCCACCGCGCCTGGCTGGTAAGGCTTTTGAAACGAGATCTAAGACCTGATTATGGAGCTGGCCCTCTTAGTTGCATTCTTTTCCCCAGAAATGGAAACCCTTTATAAAAACAGAAGCCGGGCCCAGTGGCCCACCACTTTGGGAGGCCAAGGTGGGTGGATCACCTGAGGTCAGGAGTTTGAGACCAGCCTGCCCAACATGGCGAAATCCTGTCTCTACTAAAAGTACAAAAAATTAGCCGGGCATGTTTGCGGTTGCCTGTAATCCCAGCTACTTGGGAGGCTGAGGCAGGAGAATCACTTGAACCCGCGAAATGGAGGTTGCAGTGAGCCAAGATTGCGCCACTGTACTCCACCCTGGGCAACAAAAGTGAAACTCTATCTCAAAAAAAAAAAAAAAAAATTGCGGTAAAATAGGCTGGGCATGGTGGCTCACACCTATAATCCCAGCATTTAGGAGGCCGAGGCAGGCGGATCACTTGAGGCCAGGAGTTCTAGACCAGCCTGGCCAACATGGTGAAACCCTGTATCTACTAAAAATACAAAAATTAGCTGAGCGTGGTGGCACGTGCCTGTAATTCCAGCTACTCAGGAGGCTGAGGTAGGAGAATTGCTTGAACCCAGGAGGTGGGGGTTGCAATGAGCCAAGATTGCGCCATTGCACTCCAGCCTGGGTGACTAGAGCGAAAATCCGTCTCAAAACAACAACAACAACAACAACAACAAAAATTAGCTGGGCATGGTTGCACATGCCTGTAATTCCAGCTACTTGGGAGGCTGAGGCAGGAGACTCGCTTGAACCCGAGGCGGAGGTTGCAGTGAGCCAAAATTGCGCCCGTGCATTTTACCCTAGGCGAAGGAGCGAGACTGTGTTTCAAAAAAAAAATCTGGTAAAATAGAGGCTGGAACTAATGCAAAATACAAAGGGTTTCTGTCTTTCTCATCTTTGCTACCTTTTCCCTGCTACTACCCCAAAATAGGGTGCTAATTCAATAAAGGATCTTTTATGAGAACCTCCATATTATTCCCTCCCCTTGTTATTTTTATTTATTTATTTATTTGTTTTTGAGATTGAGTCTCCCTCTGTTGCCCAGACTGGAGTGCAGTGGTGCAATCTTGGCTCACTGCAACTTCCGCCTCCCAGGTTCAAGTGATTCTTGTGCCTCAGCCTCCTGAGCAGCGGGGATTATAGGCACGCACCACCACACCCGGCTAACTTTTGTACTTTTAATAGAGACAGGGTTTTGCCATGTTGGCCAGGCTGGTCTCGAGCACCTGACCTCAAGTGATCCACCCGCCTCGGCCTCCCAAAGTGCTGGGATTACAGGCATGAGCCACCATGCCCGGCTGCTTTCCCCTTTTTTTTAGTCTTCTTCGAAATGTATTCCTGGACCTGCAGCAGATTAGATGAAAAAGTAACAGCCAAATAATATTAATAATGATGGGACTTGCCACCAAGCTTTAAAATCTTCTAATTAATTATTATTTTTTTTGGATACTGAGTCTCACCCTGTTGCCCAGGCTGGAGTGCAGTGGTGCAGTGGTTGCCCACTGCAACTTCCGCTTCCCCAGTTCAAGCAATTCTGCTGCCTCAGCCTCCCGAGTAGCTGGGATTACAGGTGTCCACTACCATGACTGGTTAACTTTTGTGTTTTTAGTAGAGGCGGGGTTTCACCATCTTGACCAGGCTGGTCTCGAACTCCTGACCTCAAGCCATCCGCCTGCCTTGGCCTCCCAAAGTGCTGGGGTTACAGACGTGAGCCACTGCGCCCAGCCAATCCTGTAATTAATTCTTTTGTTTGTTTTTTGAGACAGAGTTCCGCTCTTGTTGACCAGGCTGGAGTGCAGTAGCGCCATGTTGGCTCACTGCAACCTCCACCTCCCAAGTTCAAGCAATTCTCTGGCCTCAGCCTCCTGAGTAGCTGGGATTCCAGGTGCCCACCACCACGGCTGGCTAATTTTTGTATTTTTAGTAGAGATGTGGTTTCGCCATGTTGGTCAGACTGGTCTCAAACTCCTGACCTCAGGTGATCTACCCGCCTCGGCCTCCCAAAGTGCTGGGATTACAGCCGTGAGCCACTGTGACTGGCCCAATATTCTAATTAATTCTTGACGTGACTTTTATCTGAAGCTATTGTGTCTGTCATTTGTTATTCTCCTATTTTGGTTAGAAGAAAGATGACGCTTATAAGTGCCAGTTATTCTATCCCTCTTAGTTTATGATGTACCCCCATTCCTTAGCCAGTGACATTTCTGGCAGGAAGGACTTAGTCAAGGGCAGTCTTAATCCTGGTTCCAAGACTTAAATGTAAGGAGAACTCGAAATCTTTTCCTGTAGCTGAGTATACTGGGTGGTGACTGGTCTTAGTGTGAGGGCAATTATATTTTAAAGGGGAGTGGGATGTTCACATTCATCCTCCCACTTACAGCATCTTCCCCTCCATTCTCTCATCCATAGCGGCCTTCCTTACCCAGTCCGTTTGTCTAGATGACACAACAGTCAAGTTTGAGATCTGGGACACAGCTGGGCAGGAGCGATATCACAGCTTAGCCCCTATGTACTACAGGGGTGCCCAAGCTGCAATCGTGGTTTACGACATTACTAATCAGGTAAGTGAGCAAAGAAGACTGTCCTTGCTGGCCGGGCATGGTGGCTCCTGCCTGTAATCCTGGCACTTTAGGAGGCCAAGGCAGGTGGATCATGAGGTCAAGATATTGAGACCATCCTGGCCAACATGGTGAAACCCTGTCTCTACTAAAATTACAAAAATTAGTTGGGCGTGGTGGTGCATGCCTGTACTCAGGAGGCTGAGGCAGGAGAATCTCTTGAATCCAGGAGGTGGAGGTTGCAGTGAGCTGAGATCGAGCCACTGCACTCCAGCCTGGGCGACGGAGCAAAACTCCGTCGACGGAGCAAAAAAAAAAAAAAAAAAAAAAAAGAGGGTCCTTGCTTATGTTTAGAGGAGTTAGATTGGGGCAGGGGGCAGGGGGTAGGGGGCAGAAAACGGGTTCTTGAAATAGCAAATAAGAGTACAAATTATGCTTGCAAGTGCTAAGAAGATAGATAATGAATTATCAGAGACCTGTGGTTTCAGTGAGGGAAGACCACCTAGAAAAGGTGAATTTTGAGACTCACTTTAAAAGGTGATGGATATGGATTAGCAGTCATTCCAGCCTACTCATTCTCTTCATGTTTTCCTAGGAAACCTTTGCCCGAGCAAAGACATGGGTGAAGGAACTACAGCGACAGGCCAGTCCTAGCATCGTTATTGCCCTGGCAGGGAACAAAGCTGACCTGGCTAACAAGCGTATGGTGGAGTATGAAGTAAGATGGCCCATGGAGTTCCTCTCTTAACACTTCCTCTGTTTCTGGGACCTTTTTTTCTCCAAACCAGCCCTCTCTGAATTCAAACATCAACTGAGGACATTCATTGTCTCATTCCCCAGTTCTACACCAAGTTAAATACAGCAACACTGTGACCCTAATCACAGCCAGGAGATTTTTAGAGGAGTCAGGAGAAAATTCCAGAGCAGAGGGTTAGGGAAGTACCAGCTGTGGGGGTACCAGTGTGAAAACGGGAAGGAGGGAGCAATTAAATTTGAGGTAAGGGGCTATTCAAGTGTCAGAATCCAAAAGCCCCCAACTAACTTACCCTTTCCCCTATAATTAAGCTTTCTGACATTTGTGTGTTGGATTGAGTGGACATGGGGTCATCTTGAGGGAGTTGTCATTAAATTATGCATCTGGGCTAGCTGGCTCGAAGGGGTATTAATTAAGGGGAGGGAACCTAGGATTTTGCCTAGCTGTTGTGCTAGGGAGTGGAAAGGCAATACTCATTCCCACCCTATATTCTGAGCACCAATACCCCCCACTCCTTGCAGGAGGCCCAGGCATATGCAGATGACAACAGCTTATTGTTCATGGAGACTTCAGCCAAGACGGCTATGAACGTGAATGATCTCTTCCTGGCAATAGGTAAGGTCAGAACATCCTGAGATCTTCCTTTTTCCCCTCATTTATAGGCAAAATTATAGCTAACCCAAATCAAGGATAGGTGCAAGTATCTCCTTTTGCAAAAACTTTAGGTATGGAAATATCTTAACTTTCTGTTGTGACCTCCATCCTTGGCTGCAGCTTTAGCTCCCTTGTCTTCAATGTGTAAGTTTGCTGGCTGGGCATGGTGGCTCAGGGCCGGGCACCATGACTCATGCCTGTAATCCCAGCATTTTGGGAGGCTGAGGCAGGCGGATCACGAGGTCAAGAGATAGAGACCATCCTGGCCAACGTGGTGAAACACTGTCTCTACTAAAAATACAAAAATTAGCTGGGTGTGGTGGCGCACACCTGTAGTCCCAGCTACTTGGGAGGCTGAGCCAGGAGAATCACTTGAACCTGGGAGGTGGAGGTTGCAGTGAGCTGAGATTGTGCCACTGCACTCCAGCCTGGCAATAGAGCAAGACTTCGTCTCAAAAAAAAAAAAAAAAAAAAAAAAAAGTTTGCCAACAGTGAACCCTCCCATCTTCAGAACATTCTTTTAATCTCCCAAATTCTCCCTTTCCCCAACTCAGTAGCCATTTTTGGGGGGTGGGGGCAGAGGGGTAGGGAAGTAAAGTCTATCATACTTTGTTCTCTTCTCTTTTTATCTGTAGCTAAGAAGTTGCCAAAGAGTGAACCCCAGAATCTGGGAGGTACAGCATGCCGAAGCCGGGGTGTGGATCTCCATGAACAGTCCCAGCAGAACAAGAGCCAGTGTTGTAGCAACTGAGGGGGTGGCTAGCAGCAAACAAGTATGGAGCTAGCACGAGAGCTAAGAAATAACCTCCATCCCTACCCCTCAGCACACAGCCCCTACGGTAACAGCACACTGAGCCCTGGCTCCCAAGGGCTGCCTCCTGACAGCTCCGTCATGGCACTTTTTAACGCTTCAGCAACCAACACCAGGCAGCTGTTGCCACTGGCCTCCTACCCCCTACTCTGGGGCTTGGGGGTCAACTCCCCCCAGGACTTACCTTCCAAAACAAACTTTCTTCACTTTGTATTATAGGTACAAGACAGCGACTTACTTATCTTTTCTCCTCCTCCTTAGTGTTCCTCCCCATTTTTTCAGAAAACACTTCTGACTCCTATCCCTTCCCCTTCTGCTTTTGGTCAATCCCTGTTCTTGATCCTCTTTTCTCCTCTCCCCAGGATGCAGAAAGTGGTGAACCCAGGAGCTGAGGAAGGAGGTTTCCAGTTCATTTACATTAAGGGCCCTGGGGGAGAATAAAGCTCAGAGCAGGAGGGAGTAAGGAAACATTTCCTTTTTGTTTTTATTTGGTTGGAGTTTTTCATATTTGAAAACATTGTGGTATCCATGAGTTGGCCTTGTGGAGGGTGTTCCTAGGCAGAGGTGAGAATGAGGAGGCAAGCTCTCAGGCACCAGGCAGGAGGTGCCTTGTAAGCAAACTGGGCGGAGGTGGAGGTTCAGTGTCATCTGTGGCTCTGTAACTCTTCAAAGGCCAAGTTTCCCCTCACGCAGCCTCTTAGGTAGTGTTTCCCCTATCATGGGGATTGGACCCCAGAGTCCTCCAAAGAATCTTCACTGGTTGCCTGCATCTTTGGCTCTGCTGTGATCTGATTGGAGGAGGGACAGTTTCTGGTACCCATCCTCTGATTTATACATATGCATTTTTTTCCCTCTGGCCTTTAGATGGCCTCAGCCCCAGCCACCATATGCCCCTGCAGTTTGCACTTTAATTGATGGTAGTTCAGTTGGGGTACTTATTTTATGGAAGTTTTGATTGATTTACTTCCCCTCCCACCTTCTTAATTCAATGAAATCTGAGGTTAATACGAGGTTTGAGGAGAGGTTATAGATAAAAGTACCAGTGGCAGCTACTCATGTCCTATCTCCACTGTTAGCTTCCTCCAACTCTAATTCTTAACCTATATTCTTGCCAACCTAGCTATTGAGTATAGGTTTGCCTTTCCTGGAGAATTAACTGAGCAACTGGGGAGAGTCTCAGGATAGCACAGGCCAAGGTAGGGAAATAAAAATGAGGTCAGGCAAAAGGGAGAAGTTTTCTCTCCTTTCCCAGGTTTCACACTCAATTTGATATCCATTACCATGTCTTTTCTACTTCCTTGTAAATAGGTATGATCTTTATTCCCACTGTACAGTCTGTTCTATCCTCTGCCTCCCATCAGGCCCTGTTTCTTTTCCCTTTTGTTAATACGTTGAATTTAGTCCCTCCATCTTTAATCTCCCCATCCCTCCCCACCATGCAACCAGTGGTTTAATCCATGTACCACTAGGGGCTAGTACCACAGAGGCCTCCTGTGGTGCCCTCATATCATACCACCTGTTCCTGTGGACAGGGAATGACCAGCACTGAAGGTACCTTACAACTGGCTCATATTATCAGAGGACCTTGGTCCTTTCTGAATCTCTAGTCTCTCTTCATATCCCTTATCAGGTGTTTTAAGATGTCTCTGAGAAGCCATCAAGGCAAAAGAGAACTTTAAGTTCCTTGTTCCAGCCTAGAGTTTTGGGAAAGAAAGAAAGAGAAAGGAAAGGTCACAGTGACCTAGGATTGGAACCTTTTTGCTGTTCTGGCTTGCAGACTACCTTCTATCCCAAAACAGCTGAGAAATCTGTGAAGCTGAGATTCTGAAGGACCCAGCTTAGTTTCTTCCACTTAGGCCTCAATTCCCTTCCTTTTCCAGGGGCAGCCTTAGTTCCCATGGCCCTGAAACACACACATTTCCCCCTTCCTTTCCCAGAAGCCACTGACCCCCCCCAAAGCACCCAGTGCATCTGTTTTACAAGTGGAAGAACTAGGATGGCTTTCTAAAGTCTCCTAGAAATGAAGTTCTTTCTCTGTGCAGCTTTACCCCATGGAGCAGAGTGAAGATGTTTCATTGTCTTGGGGCTGGGAAACCACTTCCCCAGGCTTCTCCCTCCCCCACCCCCATAGGAAAAGGATTTGGCCTTAGCTTCTGGGCCTATCGGCTGCCTTCCCTCTACTTCCTACCACCTCTTCTGCCTTCCTTTGAGCTCTGTTGGGCTTGGGGATCTTAGTTTATTTTTTTGTATTATTTCCCAGCTCATTTTTTTCTTCTGGTCAGTTTTTTTAAGGGGGGGTGTTTTGGTTTTTTGTTTTTGTTTCGCTTCTAAGAAAGCATTTGCCTTTCTTCCTCTCCCAACATAACAATCGTGGTAACAGAATGCGACTGCTGATTTACCGATGTATTTAATGTAAGTAAAAAAAGGAAAAAAAGAAAAGGGCATTGGAGTGTTGCTTGCTTTTTTTTTTTTTTTTTTTTTTTTTTTTCTGTTTGTCAGATACTAGGAATTTGGAAGAAAGGATACCCGGTAATGTTTTACTGAATCAGAAACACACCTTGCCCTGCATCTTGATACATCCTTATTCCCTTTAATCTTTTCTTAAACATCTAGTTTAGAAAATAGCCCTTCTATTGCTATTTAATCACTCCTATTCTAAGGCCACTAGATTGTTCATCAAATCAAACCCTATTATATCTTTTTAGGTCCTCATAATGGAATGTATATGTGTAGGGTGTGGTCTATGGATCTTTGGGCCCACTGATGAGATTGGAGGGGGGGTGCTATTTGAAGTAGTATACAAAAATGTATGTGCTTTTTTTGTTTTGTTTTGTTTTGTTTGAGACGGAGTCTCTGTCGCTAGGCTGGAGTGCAGTGGTGTGATCTTGGTTCCCAGCAATCTCCACCTCCCGAGTTCAAGTGATTCTCCTGCCTCAGCTTCCTGATCCCTGAGTAGCTGGGATTACAGGCACGCACCAACACACCCAGCTAATTTTTGTATTTTTAGTAGAGACGGGGTTTCACCACGTTGGTCAGGCTGGTCTCGAACTCCTGACCTCGTGATCCATCCACCTTGGCCTCCCAAAGTGCTGGGATTATGGGCGTGAGCCACTGACCCTGGCCGTATGTGCATATTTCTAGGATCCATTTCTATATGTTTCTCAAAGGGGTCCATGGCCTAAAGGTTGAAAAACATCACTGAATTAGTTTTTTTGGTTCATCTTGTAGCTTCTGCCTCAACGGGAAAATTTCCCTTGGATCTGCTCTTGACTCCTAGTGTACTTCAGACCCTTCAGTCCATCACAGTCTAAAGGTTGAGGGAAGGGGGATGAAATAGAATTATGTGTGGTTGCCGGAGGCTTTAAATTCCAAAGAATCTGAAGGAGGATAGGAAAGAGGACTGGTGCCAGACAAAGCTGGCATTCTAGGCCTGTCTCTGTCAACTTACCAACTGTGGCCTTGATCAAGTTAGTGCTTTCTGCCTCGTTTCTTCATCTGTAAAATAAAAGCTGAAGATTAAGGTCAATTATGTAAAGCATGTGTGTAACACAAAAGTAGACACTATTAGGAAGGAGGCTTTTAGATAATCCCTAATTGACTTCTCTATATCTTCCTTTGGCTGAGACTTTTTTTTCTAGGTTGAAGCTTGTTCTCTCTCTCTCTCTCTCTCTCTCTCTCTCTCTCTATATATATATATATATATATATTTTTTTTTTTTTTTTTTTTTTTTAACAACTGGTAGAATAGTAGGATAGGTTGGGCATCAGCCTCTTCCAATGATTTGATTGTATACAGATTGAAATCCTTTCTATTTCCAAACACTTAAGAGCCAAAGCCAACTTTTCACTGTCGGTTCCCTTACCTTATATCTCTTAGTAATACCCCACACCTCCGTTCCCTGATTCCTGGTAAAAGCTCTAGTTGGAGAGAGGAAAGGAAAGGAAATGATCTTTCAAAATTAAAGGTGAACACCTTCACTTAAACTAATTAAAATTGTATCTCCACCCCCTGGCCTGTAGAGGGCAGTGTAAGGATACATTTGTCCGGGTTAGGGGACTAGGTTTGATAAATTTTGTCCCGCATCAAATGACAAAAGGGTAATAGAAAATGTATTATATTTGTGCCCCTTACTTTGAGATAAGAGACTACAACCTTCATACTTCGGGGTGTTAAGCTGCCATTGCTCTTGTTAAGAGGCAGTTTGTTTTAGAGATGGGGTCTTGCTCTGTTGTCCAGGCAGGAGTGCAGTGCCGCGATCTTGGCTCAGTGCAACCTCGAACTCCTGGGCTTAAGCGATCCTCCCGCCTCAGCCTGCCGAGTACTGGGACTACGGGCGCGTACCACCAAGGGGCGATTATTATTATTTTTTTTTCTATGCAAAATAAAAGATGGCTATTCAGTGTTGTTGGTTCATTTTTGTTTGGGGAGAAATTCGACTAGCCCAAGGAATCTCAAATTCTTGGAACCACTATTATTGGCATTTCTGTTCTCATTCCTGGAATATAAGAATTGAGCGACTGACCTTGCTTTTTCTAAAAGATAAACAGGGTGGTTGTAGTTGCAACAGGGTAGATAGAGGTATGTACCCTGGGGTTAATTAAAGTGGAGATGACAGCCGGAAGAAACTGGACTGGATCCCGAGGCCTCCTCCAGGGAGGGGCGGTAGGGGCGACTCAAAATCTCCCAACTTTTGGATTCCTCGTCACCTTCCACACTGCCCGAGCTCCGGACATACAGCCCCGGTGCACGAGGGTCCCATTCTTTGCACACCAGGGGTATAATGGACTCTGGACTGTTGCGAGAGTGACAGCAAAAAGCCAGCCTCTTCTCCGAAGCTTCTTGGCAACCTGCCTGTCTCGGCTCCAGGAGGCGGGTTTCAGCCAATGGCTGAGCCACTCGCTTCCAACCAATGGCTGAGGGGTTGAGCTGAGGGGAATGAGTGGTCCCTTACTGCAGCGGGACGCAACGGCGCTGGCCCCGCCCCTCGAGAACTCGCTGAGAGCTGGGCTGGTAAAATTGCATTACAGAGGACACTGGACTCGGTAAGGAGGCTGGGGGTGGGAAAGAAGCTGGGGAGGAAGGGCTGCTGAGCTGGGCAGCGGAGGGGGCATTGGTGTCCAGCTGTGCTCCGAACCTCGAGGGCAACAAAACTATCAGTACCTGCCTCCACTCTCTCTGTCTGGGTGCTCTTGAGATCGCGGGGTGTTGCCACAAGACCCTTTTGTGCCTGGATGTCGGACGTATCTTCCTACCTAATGTGCCCGTGGGGAGTGAGGGGTCATCACCTGCACCAACGGGTGGCATTTCTGTATTACAGCAAAAGGCTGTCCCTCCCAAACCTGGGATTCTGGGTTGACTGAGTTCACCTACGAGTCAGCACTACCTGCACTGCTCTGGTCTAGTACAAACAGGCTGCTGGCATTGAGGTAGGTGGCAGAGAGAGTAAGGGTCCCTTGGCCTAGGGGCAAGGTGAAGACTGCTCCTATTCCCATCTCTAGGTTTCTTCGCCTCCCTACCCACGACCCACCCACCCCGACACATTGGTCTCCAGCATCTCATCAGCAGTTTAGACATTTCTCACTACTCCTCACTCCGGCCCTGCTGGGTCAGTGCTCTCTGTTCAGCAATGTGAGGAAGAAACTGTTACCGGGCAGAAGGCAGAAAAATTACTTTCCTTCTTCAGCCTGCCCCTGACACTCTGGCCAATAATTCCTCAATTTGCTGAGCTCACTACAGTGGCATAGACAAGATTGAGGTGGTCCGGGACCCTGGGTTGGGGTCCAGTTCCTAGCTGGGTTCAATTTAATTTTTTTAGGGTAAATGGGGGGAGAGTTGGGGACTGAAAGGCCTTCAAAGACAATGTTATTATAGTAGTCTCCCCTTATCCAAGGTTGTGTTTTCCTGAGTTTCAGTTAGCCATGGTCAACCGCTTGGAAAATAGGTGAACACAGTTCAATAAGATATTTTGAGGCTGGGAGTGGTGGCTCATGCCTGTAATAATCCCAGGACTTTGTGAGGCCAAGTTTGAAGGATCACTTGAACCCAGGAGTTTGAGACCAGCCTGGGCAACATAGTAAGACCTCATCTCTACAAAAAAAAAAAAAAAAAAAGCCATGCATGGTGGCTCATGCCTGTGGTCCCAGCTACTCAGGAGGTTGAGGCAGGAGGATGGCTTGAGCCCAGAAGTTTGAGGCTGTAATGAGCTGAGATCACACCACTGCACTCCAGCCTGGGCAACAGAGCGAGACCCTGTCGGGGGCAGGGGAGGGTAGGGGAAGCCAGACAGTGGCTTATGCCTGTAAACCCAGCACTTTGGGGGCTGAGGCAGCAAGAGGCCAGGAGTTCAAGACCAGCCCTGACAACATAGTGAGACTCCCATGTCTACAGAAAAATTAGCCAGGCTTGGTGACACACGCTTGTAGTCCCAGCTAGTGGGGAGGCTGAGGCAGGAGGATGGCTTGAGCCCAGGAGGTTGAAGCTGCAGTGAGCCATGATTGACACTTGCTCCATCACCCAGGCTTTTTTTTTTTTTTTTTTTTTTTTTTTTGAGACCAGGTCTGGAGACCTATTGACCTATTGCCCAGGCTGGAGTATGGTGGTGCCATCATGACTCATTGCAGTCTCGACCTCCTGGGCTCAAGCCATCCTCTCATCTCAGCACTCCTCTCCTCACCACCCCAGTAACTGAGACTACAGACAGGCATCACCATGCCCAACTAATTTGTTTTTTTTTTCTAGAGACACAGTCTCACTATGTTGCCCAAGCTGGTCTTGAACTCCTGGGGTCAAGTGATCCTCCTTCCGTGGCCTCCCAAAATGTTGGGATTATAGGCATGAGCCACCATGCCTGGCCAAAAAAAAAATGTATTTTGAGAGAGAGACCACATTCATATAACTTTTTTTTGTGTTTTTTTTTTTCGAGACAGGGTCTTGCTCTGTTGCCCAAGCTGAAGTGCAGTGGCACAGTCACCTCACTGTAACCTCAAACTTCTGGGCTTAGATCTTCTCACCTCAGCCTCCAGAGTAGATGGGACCACAGATGCACTCCACCATGCCCAACTAACTTTTTATTTTTTGTAGGGACGGGGTCTCCAACTCCTGGCCTCTAGCAGTCCTCCTGCCTAGGTCTCCCAAAGTGCTAGGATTATAAGGGTGAGCCACCACACCCAGCCCTTTTAGTACAGTATAATGTTATAATTTTTCTATTTTGTTATTGTTGTTAATCTCTTTTTTTTTTTTTTTTTTTTGAGACGGAGTCTCTCTCTGTTGCCCAGGCTGGAGTGCAGTGGCGTGATCTCAGCTCACTGCAACCTCCACCTCCCAGGTTCAAGCAATTCTCCTGCCTCGGCTTCCCAAGTAACTGGGGTTTACAGGCACATGTCACCACACTCAGCTTATTTTTGTATTTTTTGTAGAGACGGGGTTTCCCCATGCTGGCCAGGCTGTCTCGAACTCCTGACCTCAGGTGATTTGCCCACCTCGGCCTCCCAAAGTGCTGGAATTACAGACGTGAGCCACTGCGCCAGCCACTGTTGTTAATCTCTTACTGTGGGTAATTTAGTAATTAAACTATAAGAGGTATGTATGTATGGGGGAAAAAACAGTAATATAGGGTTTGGTACAATCTGTGGTTTCAGACATCTACTGGGGGTCATAGAACATATCCCCAGTAGATAAGGGGGTACTACTGTACTTGTTGACTCTTCATGTTAGCTCTGCTAGGCAGGTATCATTTCAGAGATGAGGAAGCAAGTTCAGAACAGCTTGGAGTCTTTCTCAGGAAATCGGTATGGTTAATGAATAGCAAGATCCAGTTTCACAAACCCAAGGCATTTTGCCCCCAGAATCTGGGCTCCTTCACCCAATTAGGCTGCCACTACTTTTTTTTTTTTTCTTTATTTTTTTTAATCCCTGTTTAAGTCAGTCTGACCCACAGTCATCCTCTGCTGACTTCAGAAATAATAATCTGGCCAGTAGACATTTGGCTTCGGTCCTTTAGGCCGTTTGCCCCAGGCATTGTTCTCTATGGTGGATGAAGTTCAGAATGGAAGATGGGAGAGAGGTGATTCTGATTCTAGAAGCACCCATCCCTCCTACCCCATTCCCCACCCACATTACCTGTCATCCTGTCAGCACAGTCTGTCTCTGAAGTGCTCCAAGTTTTTTCTAAGGGCCCATTTGGACTCCCACTTTCAGGACTCCCCATTTGCCCAGAAAGCTCCTTGCTGACCTTCTCTGTGTCTTCCTCCCACCCATTCCCTTAGGCTTCCCTAATATCCCCTCCCAGGGTCTCCCTATCTTGATTCCAGAATCTTCCTTCTACAGGTCTGCTACAATGCTGCTGCTGCACAGAGCTGTGGTCCTCAGGCTCCAACAGGCCTGCAGGTAAGCCAGCCCATCCCAGGACTTGCCTCCTAGCCCCTACCTCCCACCCTTAGTTGTCTTTTACAATGTCATACCTTGCAAATAAGATAGTTGAGAGAGTGTGTCCAGGGAGGAGAGAGAAAGCCAGATCCCACTTTTCCCACCTATCCCTGGAGAAACTAAGTTCCAACTGAAGGAACCAATGGCCAACCAGGGAGAAAGAAGTAGACCCCAGGCCTTCACTGACCCTTTCATATGACCATATGTGCTACTAAGACCTCTCTCTCTTCCAGACTCAAATCAATCCCCTCAAGGATCTACATTCAGGCCTGCTCCACAAATGATTCATTTCGGCCCCAGTACCCCAGCCTTACCTTCTCTGGTGATAACTCCAGCACCCGGGGATGGAAAGTCATGGGAACCCTATTAGGTCTCGGTGCAGTGTTGGCCTATCAGGACCATCGGTGCAGGGTAAGTGAGGAAGGTGCTTCATTGTCAGAACAGACTGGGCGTAGTGGCTCACGCCTGTTATCCCTGACAACTATAGGAGGCCAAGGTGGGTGGATCACTTGAGGTCAGCAGTTTGAGACCAGCCTGGGCAACATGGCAAAACCCCATCTCTAGTAAAAATACAAAAATTAGCCAGGTGTAGTGGTGCACGCCTGTAATCTCAGCTACTTGAGAGGCTGAGACACAAGAATTGCTTAAACCCAGGAGGCTAAGTCTGCAGTGAGCCGAGATCAAGATCGGGCCACTGCACTCCAGCCTGGGTGACAGAGTGAGACTCCATCTCAAAAAAAAAAAAAATTGTCAGAATAAAGGAATCAGTCCTAGTAAACTCCACCCGCAACCCAGGCCGTGACCTGTGTTCTTGCAGTTACAACAGAGTCCACAGTGACAGTCTTCATGCACAGTGGAGATGAAATATGCTAATCTGCTACCTTCACTTCCCAGTGGCCAACACTGTGGGTTGGGTCAGGGTGAGCTAGAGTGATTTCTTCTTTTTTTGTTTTTTTTTTGAGATGGAGTTTCGCTCTTGTTGCCTAGGCTGGAGTGCAATGGCATGATGTCAGCTCACCGCAACCTCCACCTCCCGGGTTCAAGTGATTCTCTTGCCTCAACCTCCCGAGTAGCTGGGATTACAGGCATGCGCCACTATGCCCGGCTAATTTTGTATTTTTAGTAGAGACAGGGTTTATCCATGTTGGTCAGGCTGGTCTCCAACTCCCGACCTTAAGTGATCCGCTCGCCTCAGCCTCCCAAAGTGCTGGGATTACAGTCGTGAGTCACCAGGCCCGGCCGAGTGATTTCTTCTTAACAGTTTCTTCCCTTTTATCTTACTCCTTCCCTGCCGACAGGCTGCTCAGGAGTCAACACGCATATACACTAAGGAGGAAGTAAGTTCCCACACCAGCCCTGAGACTGGGATCTGGGTGACTCTGGGCTCTGAGGTCTTTGATGTCACAGAATTTGTGGACCTACATCCAGGGGGGCCTTCAAAGCTGATGCTAGCAGCTGGGGGTCCCCTAGAGCCCTTCTGGGCCCTCTATGCTGTTCACAACCAGTCCCACGTGCGTGAGTTACTGGCTCAGTACAAGATTGGGGAGCTGAACCCTGAAGACAAAGTAGCCCCCACCGTGGAGACCTCTGACCCTTATGCTGATGATCCTGTACGTCACCCAGCCCTGAAGGTCAACAGCCAGCGCCCCTTTAATGCAGAGCCCCCGCCTGAGCTGCTGACAGAAAACTACATCACACCCAACCCTATTTTCTTCACCCGGAACCATCTGCCTGTACCTAACCTGGATCCAGACACCTATCGCTTACATATAGTAGGAGCACCTGGGGGTCAGTCACTGTCCCTTTCCCTGGATGACTTGCACAACTTTCCCAAGTACGAGATCACAGTCACTCTGCAGTGTGCCGGCAACCGGCGCTCTGAGATGACTCAGGTCAAAGAAGTAAAAGGTCTGGAGTGGAGGACAGGAGCCATCAGCACTGCACGTTGGGCTGGGGCACGGCTTTGTGATGTGTTAGCCCAGGCTGGCCACCAACTCTGTGAAACTGAGGCCCACGTCTGCTTTGAGGGACTGGACTCAGACCCTACTGGGACTGCCTATGGAGCATCCATCCCTCTGGCTCGGGCCATGGACCCTGAAGCTGAGGTCCTGCTGGCATATGAGATGAATGGGCAGCCTCTGCCACGTGACCACGGCTTCCCTGTGCGTGTGGTGGTTCCTGGAGTGGTGGGTGCCCGCCATGTCAAATGGCTGGGCAGAGTGAGTGTGCAGCCAGAGGAAAGTTACAGCCACTGGCAACGGCGGGATTACAAAGGCTTCTCTCCATCTGTGGACTGGGACACTGTAGATTTTGACTCTGCTCCATCCATTCAGGAACTTCCTGTCCAGTCGGCCATCACAGAGCCCCGGGATGGAGAGACTGTAGAATCAGGGGAGGTGACCATCAAGGGTTATGCATGGAGTGGTGGTGGCAGAGCTGTGATCCGGGTGGATGTGTCTCTGGATGGGGGCCTAACCTGGCAGGTGGCTAAGCTGGATGGAGAGGAACAGCGCCCCAGGAAGGCCTGGGCATGGCGTCTGTGGCAGTTGCAAGCCCCTGTGCCAGCTGGACAAAAGGAACTGAACATTGTTTGTAAGGCTGTGGATGATGGCTACAATGTGCAGCCAGACACTGTGGCCCCAATCTGGAACCTGCGAGGTGTCCTCAGCAATGCCTGGCATCGTGTCCATGTCTTTGTCGCCCCATGAGCATGGAAAAGAGCCACCTCAACCCCTTTCCCCACCCATTAGCCTCACTGCTTCAGAAAAATCTTTCCCACCCCTCAACTTCTTGGATCACAACTCTGGCTTCCTAAGCCATACCCAAGTACACATATAGCACATTTCACCCAGGGCCCCTCCCTCTTTGGACACTATGTTACATATCCCTCTTGGCCTTTGAACCTGTGCCAGGAAATGTGAGCTGTTACAGCAAGGGGCTAGAAGTGAGATAAGTAATTCTGGAGACAAGCACTATTTTGTTTTCGTACCCCACCTCCATTTCTCATGCCTACTGCCATCAAGGCCTTGTTTTACTTTTCTTTTTGGATTCTTCAGAGAAATGTGTGTGGCATGTGTAAGAAAAGTGTATATACTATTATCTCTCCAGGTTGCAAAGTTGTGAGGAGAGCAAAGGGCACAACCATCTCCCTTTACAGTTCTACTTTTCTAATAAATAGTCTGTTTAAGATCATGACTCTTGGGCCTGGGGAGTGAGCCTATTGCAGGAGGGAGGATGCATTTGTACTGGGATGTATAATGAGATTAGTCCAAAACAAACAAAACTTGGGAGGAAGACAGAGGAAGTAGGCTTGTAGGTTAAGAAGTGTGGCTTCTGGCTGGGCACAGTGGCTCATGCCTGTAATCCCAGCACTTTGGGAGGCCGAGGCGGGTGGATCACTTGAGGTCATGAGTTTGAGACCAGCCTGGCCAATGTGGCAAAACCCAGTCTCTACCAAAAATACAAAAATTCGCTGGGTGTGGTGGCGGGCGCCTGTAATCCCAACTACTTGGGAGGCTGAGGCAGGAGAATCTCTTGAACCAAGGATGCGGAGGTTGCAGTGAGCCGAGATCACACTACACCCCAACCTGGGCGACAGAGCAAGATTCCATCTCAAAAAAAAAAAAAAAGGAGAGGGGGCTTCCTTCTCTGAGGTCTGGCAGTATCTGCAGGGACACCTAGGTGATTGACTTCAGGATACCATGAAGAGAGGAGAGGTGACAAAAACATGTATCCTCCAACCCCTCTCCCCAACAATTCCAATGCACTTGGCAGGAAAGGCAAAGGGTGCTAGGAGTTTAAAATCAATATTGTCTTAGGAGGCTGTGAAAGCAAAATAAATCTCGGGGCCCCAGAATCACTGAGCTAAAGGGAAAAGTCAAGCTGGGAACTGATTAGGGTAAACCTGCCTCCCATTCAAAGTCATCCCTCTGCTCACTGAGATAAATGCATATCTGATTGCCTTCTTTGAGAGGAATACAACCATTTGCCTTTCTTTTTTTTTTTTTTGTAGAGACGGAGTCTCGCTCTGTCACCCAGGCTGGAGTGCAGGAGTGCGGTGGCGCGATCTCCACTCACTGCAACCTCAGCCTCCGGAATTCAAGCAATTCTCCTGTCTCAGTGTCCCAAGTAACTGGAACTACAGGCACACACCACCACGCCGGGCTAATTTCTTTTGTATTTTAGTAGAGATGGGTTTCACCATGTTGCCCAGGCTGGTCTTGAACTCCTGAGCTCAGGCAATCAGTCTGCCTCCCAAAGTGCTAGGATTACAGGCCTGAGCCACCAAACCCGGCTTTTTTTTTTTTTTTGAGACGGAGTCTCGCTCTGTCGCCGGGGCTGGAGCGCAGTGGCCGGATCTCAGCTCACTGCAAGCTCCGCCTCCCGGGTTTACGCCATTCTCCTGCCTCAGCCTCCCGAGTAGCTGGGACTACAGGCGCCCGCCACCTCGCCCGGCTAGTTTTTTGTATTTTTTTAGTAGAGACGGGGTTTCACCGTGTTAGCCAGGATGGTCTCGATCTCCTGACCTCGTGATCCGCCCGTCTCGGCCTCCCAAAGTGCTGGGATTACAGGCTTGAGCCACCGCGCCCGGCCTTTTTTTTTTTTTTTTTTTTTTTTTTTTGAGACAAAATCTCACTCTGTTGCTCAGGCTGAAGTGCAGTGGCCCGATCTCAGCTCACTGCAACCTCCTCCCGGCTTCAAGCGAGTCTCCTGCCTCCGTCTCCCAAGTAGCTGGGACTACAGGCGCCTGCCACCACGCCCGGCTAGTTTTTTATTTTTAGTAAAGACGGGGATTTCACAATGTTGGCCAGGCTGGTCTTGAGCTCCTGACCTCAGGTGATCTGCCCGCCTCGGTCTCCCAAAGTGCTGGGATTACAGGCGTGAGCCACTACGCCTGGCCCCATTTGCCTCTTATCTACCTAGGACCTGGAAGCCTCCTCCCAGTTTTGAATTGTCCCGCCTTTACATATATTGATTGATGTCTCTCGTCTCCCTCAAATGTATAACACCAAGCTCTGCTCCAATCACCTAGGGCACATGTCGTCAGGATCTCCTGAGGCTGTGTTAGGGGCGTGCGTCCTTAACTTCGGCAAAATAAACTTCCTAAATTGAGACCTGTCTCAGATTTTTGGGATTCACAAGGTACAGAGGGAAAACTTGGCTCTAGGGCCTGACGTGCCAGGCCACATAGGGTGTCCAGTGTGTGCTTAGATTGCAAACTGGGTGCAGATTAAAGGCTAGTTTTTAGGTTACCTTCGGCAGGCGATGGCGCCTTTCGGACTTGAATCTTTCGGCGCTCGGCTACTCTCCCCTAGCTCCTCTCCCTATTTCCCCCAGCAGTCTCCCGGGCTTGGGGACGCTCGGTGTTCGGCCACGCCGCCTGTCGCCTGGTAGTGGGACCGGAAGTTGTTAGGGGGAGGGGGACGGCTGTGATGGGGGGGGATATATGGGGGGGCAGGTCCCTTCTCAGGTGAAGCTGCTGATGGAGATGGAGCCGCCGCCGCCGCCGCCGCCTCTCAGCGCCCGGGTCCTGGCTCCGGCCCGGCGACTGCCGCCGCCTCAGTGACCCCACTCCCCCCGCACTGGGCCGCCCGGGCCAGAGTGGGGGACCCCCGCCCCCCCCGCCTCCCTTTTCCCCAACACCGTCCCCTCTCCCCCACCCTTCACAGCCTGCGCGCGCGCGCGGAGACGCCTCAGGTGAGTGAGGGGCGGGGCTTGGGGGGGGTAAAGCGAGGGCGGGGCTTCGGTGGCCGGGGGCGGGGCCTGAGGGGCTCGGGCGTGAAGGAGCTGGGAGACGTGGGCGGGGGAAGGGGCCAGGCTGAGAGAGGGGCGCGCGTTGGGCTGGGGCCCGAGGGGTGGAACATGGCCGGGGGAGTTTGGCCCGAGGCCCCAGTATTAAGAGGGAGGTAGCAGGGACTTGGGGTCCTAAAAAGGCGGGAGACAGATCACCGCAGGGGTCTGAGGACTGGCTGGAGCTGGCAGCCGCGGGGCTCCTCCGTGGGGATGTGGTTTGGGTATACAGCAGGACAGAGAGGAGAAAGGAGCAGCAGAGAGGGTATCTGAACAAAACAAGAGAGGGACCCGGGTATTGGGTCGAGGAATGCTGAAGACAGGAGTCTGGGGATAAAGACGTAGGCCTAGGTGAGAAGATCTGGGAGGCAATGAGCATATTGGGAGAAACATGTAGAGAAGAAACTTAGCATGGAGTGAGAAGTGCACAGTGTAGGGTGAGAGGTGTAGGGAACTTGGGAAGCAAGGCTGGAAAGGAAGAGATTCACTGCCTAAGAGCCCTAAGAAAGAAATGCAACGGAGGAAACCCCAGGGCAGACATCCAGATGGGAGCTGCAAACTTGGGAAGCAGGCTGCCTGCTTCCTGTGTACCAAAACAGCCCTCCCTGTACCTCCTCACACAAATCCCATTTTCTTACCCCTTGGCTGCTAGAGTTGTAGGTTCTCGCTTTTTAAATTTTCTATATTATTTATGTGCCTTTAAAAAAATTATGATTAGGGCCGGGCGCGGTGGCTCAAGCCTGTAATCCCAGAACTTTGGGAGGCCGAGACGGGCGGATCACGAGGTCACAAGATCAAGACCATCCTGGCTAACACGGTGAAACCCCGTCTCTACTAAAAAAAAATACAAAAAACTAGCCGGGCGAGGTGGCAGGCGCCTGTAGTCCCAGCTACTCGGGAGGCTGAGGCAGGAGAATGGCGTGAACCCAGGAGGCGGAGCTTGCACTGAGCACTCCAGCCTGGGCGACTGAGCAAGACTCCATCTCAAAAAAAAAAAAAAAGAAAAAAATTATGATTAGTCCTGTCTGGGAGCAGTAGAATGTTTAACGGAACGTGGACCTTTAGATATGTTCATGAAATATTGTACCCCAATCCCCCTCCAAGGTCAAGAACTTATGAACTCTGCTTCCAGAAATTTTTTTTTTTTTTTTTTTTTTTTTTGAGACCGAGTGTCGCTCTTGTTGCCCAGGCTTGAGTGCAATGGCGCAATCTTGGCTCACTGCAACCTCCATCTCCCGGGTTCAAGCGATTCTCCTGCCTCAGCCTCCCAAGTAACTGGGATTACAGGCGCCCGCCACCACCCCTGGCTAATTTTTTGTATTTTTAGTAGAGATGAGGTTTCACCAAGTTGGCCAGGCTGGTCTCGAACTTCTGACCTCAGGTGATCCACCCGTCTTGGCCTCCCAAAGTGCTGGGATTACAGGCATGAGTCACCATGCCTGGCCAGAAAATTTTTTGCATACCTTATTTCGCCCCATTTCCTTCTCTCATGAACAAAACTATCTCGTGTTGTGACTCTTATCAACCCTTGCTTATATGTCTAGTAGTTCCTACTGTGCCTGTCTCCCCGGCCTGTGCCCTCAAAGCATCAATGGTGGGCATGGTATGTTCCTGACATGCTCACATGTCAGCTTTAGGTGTTCCAACATCATAGTCAACCAGATGACCATTGAAGCCTGTCTCCCCTTACTGATACTTGCTCACTTTGCCTGGGTGAAGATACATGTTCATATCCTTAAGGAAGCATGAAAATGTTGTCTGACTACCTAGAATATTTCCACTTAAGATAACTCAGATTCTGAGGATAAGGCCAGATAAAAGGCCAAATCAGACAATCTTTGAAAGCATAGTGTTTCCTTTGGTTGGGGCACCAGCTGGTAATCCCTCACCTCCTCATGGACCTGCCAGTAGATCCGTGAATCATGCTCCATCATTTGCAGGAGGACTTCAGCTTTCCCTACTAACAGCCTAAAGCCAGAGAATCCAGACAGCCCCTTGGATCATGAGAACAGTCAGATGAGTAGCTCCTGAGATAAAAATAAAATCTTAAAAGAAGAAAATAGCTTTACCATTGGGAAGCAAGAGAAGTTTCACTGGAGCTTCTGGGGTGGGCTTCAGGATGGTGAGAGCTGCCCTCATTTTGGCAGCTTCAGAATTATACCTTGCCCTAGTCAATAGAAGTTCATGTCTCAAACAGAAAATATAATGTCTTTGTTGCCCACTGAGTGCAGTTAGTTAGTTGAATTGTAGCTTTTGGGCAATCCCCTTCCTCTGAGTAGGTTAAGGGTAAGGCATATTTCAGGACTTGGCTCAGAAATAAGTCCTGACTTTTTTCCAGTGAAAATGCAACTGAAAGTCTCTTTATATCCTCTTAGTTTGAAATCTGCAGCTTGAACTTCCCAGCATGGGAGAAACTTATCCCACCTTTCACCCTACCCCCCACACACAGCAGTATCCACAAAGGAATTATTTTTTTCCCCAACTGGCCACCTCTCTCTGTCTCTACACACAAACACACACACACACACACACACACACACACACACACACACCCCAAAGAAAAAGAAAGATAGGTATTTCTAGCCTCATTTTACTCTGTAGGAACAAATAAGAGTGTGGGACCCTGTGAGTGTGGACAATACCACAGGCAGAGGGACTCCCTTTCTTTATTGGTCTGTTGACTCTGCTGAAGAAAGCTTTGAATTCCAGGCTTTGATTTGCTTCCTCTTCTTAAAAGAGTTATGAACTCTGTTCTGGAAACAGAGAGATAGGTTCAAAGTTTATCAGACAAAAGCATCTAAGACAGGGTAGTGCTGATATGAATGCTGATATGAATGACCTGGTCCAGCTGGGGATAGGATCCACATTGTAGGCTCTGATGCAATACATATGCTGGGGTAGTCCTCAAGCTAAGAGGCCGTTTCTACTTTAAAGAGACTTAATGACCATCTAGTTTGGGGTTTTCCTCAGGTCCATTATCTCTGAAAAGAGACATAGGAGGAAGAGGATTATTTATCCTCCCATTCATAAGCCTGTGTTTCCTGTTCAAGGATTTAGGTCACCAAGACGCAGACCCAAAAACCATTCATTTAATAACCCAAGAAAGAAGGCAAGCAGGGTGGCCCAAATCTTCCAACTGGGGCAAGATTTAATAAAGTGTTCCAGTAGAAAGAACCCTCTAATGGTAACTTGGGCTCTACATGTCCTACTTCTGTTGTTAACCAGATGGGTGACTCTGGGCTTAGTTTCTTCTGTTAAAAACCAGGAAATTGTAGGTCATCTCTCAACTCCATTTCAGCTCCAGGATTCCTCAGGTCCTGGAGTACCCCTGCCCTAGACCCTCCACATGAAGAAGAGAGGCTTACCAAATTGGATTGTCAGAGCAAAACTATTAGCAGTGGAGCCTGAAAACATCTTTCTGGCCCAGACAACAGTGAGCTTTTTTGATCAGCATGTATTAGGGACTTTTGGCTACAATTGCAATCAAAGGCAATTGTTCCTGTCTCTTCTACATTTTTTTGCTACTGTACCCTAGTCAGAATAGTTCATTGAGACTTCCCTGTAATTTCAAACTTCACTTGAGAGCACTAACCCTGTTTTGGGCATCTTTGGCTTTAAAACTGATTATTATAAGACTCAAATTGAATTTCCCTGCTCTACTTTCTCCACCCCTGCCCAAACATACCACTGAACAGCAGTGACTTTGTGAGGACTTTCTATTAACAGAGAGCTATACTTCGGGGTATACCCAAAAACCCCAAAAAGTATCATCTCCTGTGTATCATATCTAGTGATTTAAAGTGTTTAGTTTGGCCCTTTCCCTTCGTTCCTTATGTCCTGAAATGAGACATGGGAGGGATAGGATTGTTTCTTCTCCCACTCATAAACCTTAGCCTTCTCTCTCTTCTGCAGTCTACATGGGGAGGACAGAGAAGCGCAAAGAACAAGAGAAAAGATGCATCCATCTGAGATCTAAAAGGAGACAATGAGGTGATATTTTCCCCCTGCCCAGGTGTTGTGTTTTCAGCTCTTACCCCTTTTTATTTTAGAGACTGGCCATTCCTAGGATGACCTGGGAATTCATCCCCTCTGCACTGCTCCCCAAGCACTTGGATAATGAAGCTGAGCTGTCTTCAACTGTATTATATGTAGACAGAAGGTCACCATCTACAGCCTGGTGAAAAATGAGTCAGATCTTTCCACTGTAAAGACAAACACATGAGCTGAGCTAAGATTGGTGGGTTTCCTTCAGAGAGCACTAGGTTGACCCTAAAGATTATTTCAGAGCTGCAAATTGCTTGATGTCTAGATCTTTTTCCTGGAAAGGGGCTTGCAGACAATGGCTAATTCCATACCTTTCCCTGGCCCCTTTGCCTCTTCTTCCTCCTCAATTATGCAAAGCTTTTGATAGAGAGCAGAGCCAGCTATGTGATTCCAACATGTTTTTGCTCAGATTTCATTCAGTTCAGGAAGGCACAGATAGTAGAGGATGATGCTGTGGGTTTGCTCTACTTGTAGCACCTGAATGGCTCACACCCAAGGCACATGGGAAGTTCTGTCTTTTTAATAACCACTGGTCTCCACCTGAGAACCCAGGTACTAAGGGAAAATGGAGAAAAATTTTCCACTTCTGCCTGTTATAGTTTGGGAATAATAACACAAACATGGTATGGATCCTTGCCATTCTCTCTACCTTCACCCTCTTTCCCAACAATATTCTGCTCATGACCTTTTACCCCCTAGGCCACAATAAGCATGTGTTAAATGACTTTTTTTTTTTTTTTTGAGATGGAGTTTCGCTCTTGTTGCCCAGTCTGGAGTGCAATGGCCTGATCTCGGCCGGCTGCAACCTCTACCTCCAGGGTTCAAGTGATTCTCCTGCCTCAACCTCCCAAGTAGCTGGGATTATAGGCATGCACCACCACCCCCAGCTAATTTTGTATTCTTAGTAGAGACGAGGTTTCTTCATGTTGGTCACGCTGGTCTCAAACTCCCGACCACAGGTGATCCGCCCGCCTTGGCCTCCCAAAGTGCTGGGATTACTGGCGTGAGCCACCACACCTGGCCTAAATGACTTTTTTTTTTTTTTTTTGAGATGGAGTCTCACACTTTCACCTAGGCTAGAGTGCAGTGGTGCGATCTCCGCTCACTGCAAGCTCCGCCTCCCAGGTTCACGCCATTCTCCTGCCTTAGCCTCCCAAGTAGCTGGGATTACAGGTGCCCACCACCACGCCCAGCTGATTTTTTTGTATGTTTAGTAGAGACGGGGTTTCACTGTGTTAGCCAGGATGGTCTTCATCTCTTGACCTCGTGATCTGCCTGCCTCAGCCTCCCAAAGTGCTAGGATTACAGGCGTGAGCCACCGCGCCTGGCCTAAATGACTTTTTTTTTAAGGTCTCACTATGTTGACCAGGCTGGCCTACAACTCCTAGACTCAAGCAGTCCTCTTGCCTTGGCCTCCCAAAGTGCTGGGATTACAGGTATGGACCACCATGCCTGGCCTAAATTCCAGTTTTGAAGTGTTACTGGATTAGACAGGATTCTTTAGAGTATTTGAAGAGTTTTAATCACTTGTGATGTCCGTCTTATTTCAGGCTTTCAGAGCCACCACATAGAGAAAACCTCACTTTCTCACATTTTTATCACCAATACTTAGAGCCGTGAGAATGTTTCTGGGGAAAGGGGGGTGGTAGCTGATACCTGATCTCCTCTTAGAAATCAGACTCTGGATTCATCCTCACTGCTGCCTGTCAGGGAGCCTGGTGGGAAATCTTCTGTCTGGAAAGGATGCCCATTCCTGTTCAAATGTGTTCTCATGTTGGTGGGAGAAAGCCAGGGCCAGGGAGGACTCTTGTTTATGCCAAGTGGATTCAAACAAATGGGGAAGAGCTAGGCACAGTGGCACATGCACCTGTAGTCCCAACTACTCATGAGGCTGAGGAAGGATTGCTTGAGGCCAGGAGTTTGAGGCTGTAGTGTGCTGTGATTGTGCCCGTGGACAGCCACTGCACTCCAGCCCAGACAACATAGTGAGATCCCATCTCTAGTAAATATAATAAATAAGAACAGGGAAGAAAATTTGTGTCTCCAGAGGTTACAATGACCAGCGTTTCCTCCCTCCTCACAGAGATATTCCTTTTGAATTGGAACACTGATTGTTTCTAGTTGCTTTGTATTCAGCTCAGAGCTCAATTTACAGTACATATGTGTCTACCCCCCCATCACTGAGTGACAGTTATGTTGCTTTATTTATTTATTTATTTTGTAACAGAGTCTCACTCTGTCACCCAGGCTGGAGTGCAATGGCGTGATCTCGGCTCACTCCAACCTCTGTCTCCAGGGTTCAAACAATTCTTATGCCTCAGCCTCCCAAGCAGCTGGGACTACAGGCGCGTACCACCAAGCCCAGCTAATTTTTGTAGTTTTATTAAAGACGGGGTTTCACCACGTTGGCCAGGCTGATCTTGAACTCCTGACCTCAAGTGATCCGCCTGCCTCAGCCTCCCAAAGTGCCGGGATTACAGGTGTGAGCCACCGCCCCCGGCCGACAGTTATGTTGCTTTAAAGCCAATCTCCTTCCAAGATCTTTGATCTAAAACTGTCTCATGTAACTAACTTCCCTCTCCTTATACCTCCTCCTCTTGCAATGTGTCTCCAATTGGCACTGCCTAATTTGACCCAGTTCCTCTAAGGAGATACTAAGATCTGCCTGGCTGGTTAGGCAGGGGAGGAGATGCTTTGAGGGGTAGAGAGTAGGAAGGCTGGGCAGGATGTGCTGCAGGGAGACTTGAGCAAAGAGTAAAGTACATCTACTGATTTGCTCCTGGTTTGCACAGAAAACCAGGACTGAGAACAGCAGAGTTTCAATCCAATACCCTCTCACTTCCAGGGTTACCAACTTGGTACAACTTGGTATTAAAACCAGCGCGGTGGCAGCCGGGCACAGTGGCTCAAGCCTGTAATCCCAGCACTTTGGGAGGCTGAGACGGGCGGATCACAAGGTCAGGAGATCGAGACCATCCTGGCTAACACGGTGAAACCCCGTCTCTACTAAAAAAAAAATACAAAAAACTAGCCGGGCGAGGTGGCGGGCGCCTGTGGTCCCAGCTACTCCGGAGGCTGAGGCAGGAGAATGGCGGGAACCCGGGAGGCGGAGCTTGCAGTGAGCTGAGATCCGGCCACTGCACTCCAGCCTGGGCGACAGAGCCAGACTCAGTCTCAAAAAATAAATAAATAAATAAATAAATAAATAAAACCAGCGCGGTGGCTCACGCCTGTAATCCCAACGCTTTGGGAGGCTGAGGAGGGCAGATCACCTGAGGTCAGGGGTTCGAGACCAGCCTGGCCAACCTGGCAAAACCCCATCTCTACTAAAAATACAAAAATTAGCTGGGCGTGTTGGCGCACACCTGTAATCCCAGCTACTCAGGAGGCTGAGGCAGGAGAATCACTTGAACCCGGGATGCAGAGGTTGCAGTGAGCCGAGATCATGCCACTGCACTCCAGCCTGAGTGACAGATCGAGACTCCGTCTCAAAAAGAAAAAGAAAAAAAGAAACAAAAACCCAGCTGGAGGCAGCTAAGTACTGATTTTGCCCAAGATGTGTCACAGAGCACATGTTAAGAGCAATTAAGCAGGAAAACTCAGCTTGCTGTTAGAAAGAAAGTCCAACTCAGAAAACAACTCCTTCAGACCCTTCTGGAAATTGTTTTGGGGCCATTTGGGCAGAAGTCCAAGAATGAGATACACTTCCTGAGCCAGTGCTAGCTGAATGCTATGCTTCACCTGTTCTGCCCACCTAGTGCTTGTCTAGCCCTTCATTCATGGAGGCATTAGGCATACTGCATGCACACACATACACACACACACAAAAAAAATACGAGCATATTTCTTCCTGTAGAGCCAGCTCGACTTGTTCTTCCTTTTAAAGTAACAGACCCCACTCCCACAGGGATCACACCAAAGGAAAAGATGCCTTACCTGATGTTAGAACCAGGGAAAAGAATTAGCCAAGTGTGGTTGTCCATGCCAGTAGTCCCAACTACTCAGAAGGCTGAGGCAGGAGAATTGCTTGAACCTGAGAGCCAAACTCATGCCACTGCACTCCAGCCTGGGCAACACAGTGAGACTCCATCTCAAAAACAAAACAAAAACAGGGAAAAGCAAGAAAACCCATGAAAGCCTTGAGTAGCCTGGCTTTTGAAAGATTTAATAGAAGGAGGACACTTCAGAGAGGCAGGCAACTTGTGTTCTTGTTCTTGTTCTATTCTCACCATGAACCCTGGGACAAGTAACTTCACTGCTCTCAGCCTCAGTTTCTCTCAGTTTCTCTAAGCAGAAAACAGGAAAATCCTGCTCACTCTTGCCTCTCCTGCATGGGGAGGTGTGTGAGGGAAATTTCAAGTGGCACTTTGGGGTTTTTTTGTTTTGTTTTGTTTCGTTTTGTTTTGTTTGAGACAATGTCTTGCTCTTGTCGCCCAGGCTGGAGTGCAATGGCACAATCTCAGCTCACTGCAACCCCCGTCTCCCGGGTTCAAGCAATTCTCCTGCCTCAGCCTCCCGAGTAGCTGGGATTACAGGTGCACCCCACCACGCCCGGCTAATTTTTGTATTTTAGTCGAGATGGGGTTTTGCCATGTTGGCCAGGCTGGTCTCGAACTGCTGACCTCATGATCCGCCCACCTCAGCTTCCCAAAGTGCTGGAATTACAGGTGTGAGCCACCACACCCAGCTTCAAGTGGCACTTTGAACTTTGCATTCTTTTTTTTTTTTTTTTGAGATGGAGTCTCCCTTTGTTGCCCAGGCTGGAGTGCAGTGGCGTGATCTCTGCTCACTGCAACCTACACCTCCCGGTTCAAGCAATTCTGCCTCAGCCTCCCGAGTAGCTGGGATTATAGGTGTGCACCAACACGCCCAGCTAATTTTTTTGTATTTTTAGTAGAGATGGGGTTTCACCATGATGGCCAGGCTGGTCTCGAACTCCTGACCTGAGGTGATCCACCCACCTCGCCCTCTCAAAGAGCTGGGATTATAGGCGTGGGCCGCCACGCCCAGCTCAAGCTTTCCATTCATTTTGAAAAGCCCCAAAGGGCAATTATGAATCTAACGATTTGGAAACGAAAGGGGCCCTCAATACCAGACTGCCCTCCTTTATCTTTTGATCTCTATCTCAAGTTGCATGGCTAGTTCCAGAGAGTATGAGTTCTCTAACAACTGTGGACTTGGACTCTTCTAATCATTGTTCCTAAGGGACCCTTCAAGGAACCACTTATTATTGTGGCTTGTTCTAGTGGTCTGGTCCCAAAGTTCAGTCCATCCCAGGAAGGATGTCAAGAAAAGAGGGTTAATAAACTTAGAGAATTTTTTTCTCTATGCCCTGGCTTCTTAGGGAAATAGGGTTGATACTAGGAATCTCTCTGACAAAATGTAAGAGAGAATTGCTTTGTGAAGTGAAGGTAAGCCCATGTTTCAGGTTTTCTCATGAGCCTTTAAAAGGAGTCTCTCAACTCCAGACAAGAACTGGGTGGGGGGCAGGAAAACAGATACTTTCCTCTGTATGCCTTCCTGCACCCCCTCACCCCCACCCTCACCTCTCTCAATATACCATTACAAGCAAACCAAATTTTTATCCATCTGCCTCAGTGAGATCCTTCAAAAAGACCAAGAATCCCCACAGCAACTCAGACTGTTCCCTTGCCCCATTCTTGCTTCTGCCTCTGCCTCAGGGCATTTAGTTTTCATCAGATGAGTGGGGGATGCAATTTTTATTTATTTATTTTTATTTTATTTTATTTTGTTTTGTTTTATTTTTTGTGACCGGGTCTCACTCTGTTGCCCAGACTGGAGTACAGTGGCAGGATCTCGGTACACCATAACCTCCACCTCCTAGGCTCAAGTGATTCTCCTGCCTCAGCCTCCCAAGTACCTGGGATTACAGACTCACACCATCGCCCAGCTAATTTTGTTTTGATTTGTTTTTTTAAGAGACGGAGTTTTGCTCTTGTTGCCCAGGCTGGAGTGCAATGGTGTGATCTCGGGTCACTGCAACCTCCGCCTCCCGGGTTCAAGTGATTCTCCTGCCTCAGCCTCCCGAGTAGCTGGGATTACAGGCATGCACCACCACGCCTGGCTAATTTTTTTTGTATTTTTAGTAGAGATGGGATTTCTCCATGTTGGTCAGGCTGGTCTCAAACTCCTGACCTGAGGTGATCTGCCCGCCTCAGCCTCCCAAAGTGCTGGGATTACAGGTGTGAGCCACCAGGCTGGCCGCAATTTTGGATGTATGTAAATTTCCACCAGATAGATTTTTTTTCTCTCCTCCCACAGGCTCCTAAAGAGATAATTCATTGCAACAAATTATCACTTTTAAGTGTTCTCAGTTACTGATTGTTTAATACTCTACTGCCAATTACTGCTTGCCTTCCCTCAAATAGACTTTAACCTTCATTTTAAATTCAGACTCCCCCCACCTCCTTTTTTAAAATAAGCATAGCAAAGTAATTGATGAGAGGGTGGGGATAACCATTTACAGGTTTAATTTGTTTATCACACCTTCAGTAGAGGACTTATCACTGAACCCTGAGTGGGCTGCTCTTCTCCATCTTCTACTTTTCCTGTCACCATCCCTCACACAACATACTCCCAGACAGAATCCCTTGAATGACTGAACCCAGCTTCTTATTACTACCCCATCTTTAACTGAGGTATAGAGCCTCTGAGGGGCTGTTTCTTTGCCTCCTCAGGGCTGAGGTGTAACCTCCACCTACATACATGGTCTAATCTCAGAATCAAGGACCACTCTGGATTAAGATAGTGTCTCCACCTCAGAGGCTGGGGAGGCCTGCAGAAGTTGTAAATTGGAGGAAATAGTGGGGTTTGTAAATCAGGGTACATTGTCTTTCATCAGGACAAAGTGTAAGGTTTTTCTTGGAGACAGGGTCTCACTTGGTTACCCAGGCTGGAGTGTAGCGGTAAGATCACAGCTCACTGCAGCCTCCACCTCCAGGCTCAAGTGATCCTCTCACCTCAACCTCCTGAATATCTGGGACTACAGGCACATGCCACGATGCATAATTTGTTTTTATATTTTGTAGAGATGGGATCTCCCTATATTGCCCAGGCTGGTCTCAAATCCCTGGGCTCAAGCGATCCTCCCACCTTCTTCCCAAAGCAGGAGGATTACAGGCATTGAGCCACAGTGCCTGGCTAAGGTTTTTCTTCTTTAGGATGGTATCAGACCATGCTTAAGTGCTCCTTTAGGTTTCTTGCTAACTCAAGAATGTTAAAGAGAAGCCTCCTCCCTTCCCAGAGCTATCTTCTAATAGCAGCTATTTTCTCTTTCAACAGAATCTCTTTAAAATGGACATAGAAGACTGCAATGGCCGCTCCTATATGTCTGGTATGCCTTCTGTGTGTTCTGTTTGTTAGGGGCTGGAAGCAGACGCTCTCTTGTAGAGCAGAGCAGAGAGCCTTCAGCCTAGGCACATAGCCTCTAAATGTCCTAGTTACACAGCTAACTCTCATGCTTGGTGGCCGTTGGTAGTGTGCAATTATTTTGGTGATCTTACATTCCCTAAATAGTAATTCTCTTTTCCAGACTTCTTGGGGGATGGAGGAAGGGAATAGGAGGGGAATATGAGCGGACATCATTAGAAGAATAATTTGAAGCAAATAGATGGAAAGAAGACGTGGTTCCTTCTCCTTTGCTCTGAAGTCACCAGCCAAACATGAAATCCTGTTCTATCCAGATAGAGTGGCACAAGGTTTCAAACCTCAAAGGCCTGCGAGGGCCAGGTGGTCGTGTGAATGAGTGAAGTAAAGTTAGGATAATAAGCAGAAAAGAATGGTGGGGGCTGTCATGAAGTAGAGAACATATGTCCCACTTAAAAGGACAGCAGCTTTCAGTGTCCACTAGAACTTGTCATGCAGGAATGTGTATCTAGTGTGGCCAAAACTTCTAAATGTTTAGGAGAAATCAGAAATCCAAATTTTTATACGAAATGTCTCCATTTTAAAATAATGACTCAAGGCTGGGCACGGTGGCTCACGCCTGTAATCCCAGCACTTTGGGAGACAGGCAGATCACCTGAGGTCAGGAGTTCAAGACCAGCCTGGGCAACATGGTGAAACCCCATCTCTACTAAAAATACAAAAATTAGGCCAGGCACAGTGGCTCACACCTATAATCCCAGCACTTTGGGAAGCCAAGGTGGGCAGATCACGAGGTCAAGAGATCGGGACCATCCTGGCCAACATGGTGAAACCCTCTCTCTACTAAAAATACAAAAATTAGCTGGGCATGGTGGTGCATGCCTGTAGTCCCAGCTACTCAGAAGGCTGAGGCAGGAGAACCCGGGAGGCGGAGGTTGCAGTGAGCCAAGATCATGCCACTGCACTTCAGCCTGGCGACAGAGTGAGACTCCATCTCAAAAAAAAAAAAAAAAAAGAAATAATAGAAACCAAAACTCGGTTTTGATGTGATGAGTATCCCTATCAGAAACCCAAGCATCATTGTGGAAATGACCTATAGCTTATTTTTTACTCTAAAGTAGGACCAATGAAGGAATTATTGGCATGCACTAAAGGAGATAGCAAGATGGGTCAGACACACATATGAGAGTCATTGGCAACACCCGGGTAATGTAAGGTAAGATGTTGACTCTGGCCCCTTTCTTGTTTAAGGAGGGAAGGAGTTGGAATGGGTAAAGGCATTCAATACCTGCCACATGCTTGACAGAATGACAGGGATCAGGCAGACTCGTTTAATTGGAAGAGACTTTATTAGAACAAAAGTCATGGCGCTTGTGAGGAGCGAGCCAGTCCTCCTACCTCCTGCTCAGTTAAGCCTATTCAGAAAACCACTACTGAGCAACAAGTACACTCGGGACCCTGCTTTAGTGCTGGGGAACACTCAGATGGATAAAATCCAGTCCCTGCCATAAAGCAGGCAAATGAGAAACTACAAATCCCGTGGAGCTCTTTTCAAACCTGTTTATGGAGAATACTGGATACTCGTGGAAAACTGAGGTGATTTGCTTCACCATGCTATGAAACCAAGTTTTCCCTGCTTTCAGCAGATTGGCATTTCCTAGATAAGAAGTGGCCTTTGCACAGGATGGTTTCTGAATGGAAGTGGAGGCCAGGAACTCCTCCTCTGTACTTTGAGAATTCTAGATGTCAGCAGCTACCTTAGAAAGGGAAAGGGGAAAGTCAAAGTAGGGCTACCATTAGCTCTGAAAAGTACCCCTCTTAGGACTGGGCAAAGCTGTGCTCATCACTGACCCATCTCTCCTGGAAGAGTCATATGGAAGCAGAGGGAAAGGCTGCAGCACGCAGCCCTCCTGAAGCACACTGCGAACCTCCACAGGCCCCCACAGTTCTTCTGTTCCACACCAGGTGACCTTCCCTCATCAGGCCACTTGATGAAAAGGGTATCTCTCCTGTTCTTCCAAGAGATTGGAATTCCTCACAGAACATGATTTAGAAAATCCATCTTTTCTCCCCTTTTCTCTTTTTAAAGCTGCAGATCATTCCCTTCTGGGGCAGGGAAAAGGGGGAGATAAGCAGGAGTCTATTAATTTACGGCACAGATAACCACCCCCTCCATTTTCCTATCTTTCAAGGGAAACAGAGTTGCTCAAACCCAGCTCATGCCATTAATTGAGCAGTGCTTGCCCCGTTTCCTGAGACTGTCAAATGTTTAAGAGAACTTTGGTAGAAAGGGATTCAGGGGTAGGCAACCCAAAGTTTCACAGCCCCTCCCACCCCCAAATTCTTGGAATCAGAAAATGTAGTCTTCCAAAGTAGGTCAGTTTGTTAGTGAGCAGCTCCTCTGAAAGGGAAGGGAGCAGAGGCCTTGTCCTGATAGAGGGTGGATTCATCCAGGGCTTTCGGCTGCTGGGGCCCCAGGGGCACAGGAGGGAGGGGAAGTGGGGAGACCATACCAGCCTTTTTGCCTGGGATCTGAAAGGTCTCAGGGCCACGGAGCAACACTAGCCTGACACCAGACTGCTGGGCCCTCTCGCCGCTGGAAAAGAGGAGGCTGTCAGTCCCCAGATCTAGAGAGCAACCTTCCTCCTGGAGGAGGAGGGAAAGAGTTTGGTGGGGGAGGGGCTTTCTGCCGATCTGAGAGCCTTGAAGCTGTCCGTGTCCTGGGCCCCATGACCTCTGGGGCCTTGGCTTCCCCAGCTGGCAGAGGATTGGGCCTTCCCTGGGGCCCCCCCTTTCTCCCTCCCACCCGCAGGCCCATCCATCTCTCTCACTCTCTCTCTCTCTCTCTCTCTCTCTCTCTCTCTCTCGCTCTCTCGCACACACTCTTGCCTCTCTCAGGCATTTGTTGTGCAGTTCCTCTTTGTCTGCTGGGCACGAGGGGCAACGGCATCTGCCTTTCCCTCCCTGTGCACACACCCACCACCCACCCCCTGCACTGTCTTGGAAAAGGGATGCTGTAGCCTAGCATCTCCCCCACCATATACACATATACGTTCTCTCCAGCCCCCTCCCCAAGCACATCCAAGCGTGCTCTCCCCTCTCCCTCTCTCTCTCTCTCTCTCTCTCTCTCTCTCTCTCTCTCACTCTCACACACACACACACACACACACACACACTCAACACACATACACCCTGGGCTGAGCTGCTCTTGCTGGCTACAGCCGTGGGCCTCTGCTCACCGTGCCGCTGCTGCTGCCTGCGAAATGACGGCGGTTCCCCTCACTTCCAGGAATCCACGCTTCCTGGAAGGTGAGTGGCTGGGCTCACCCCTGCCTGCCACTGAGACACAGACATGCATACACCACCCGCACTCCCTCGCCGTTTCCAAGGCGGCGGCCGCGTTCGCACCCCAGGGTCTCACCGGCAAGGGAAGGATAATGTAAGTTCAGGCAGAAGGCGGCTAGTGGAGGGAGGAAGGGGGGTGCTGGGGCTAGGGAGCCAATTCAGTAACTACTCCCAAGCCTGAGGAGATGGAGAGGATGGGGGCTGTGTGTGTGTATGTGTGTGTGTGTGTGCGCGCGTGTGTATGTGTGTAGCGGGGGAGGGGGCGTTCCTCCTTATACTTGCGGAGGATGGGAAAGGGTGTTTGGTGTTGCTAAGCAAAGACGGCGACTTGGACAGTGGGAGCCTGTGGTGACATCTTGATTAGGCCTTGGGGATAGAGGTAGAGCTGCCTGGGGTGAAATACCGAGACAGGCCTGGGTGGGAAGGGGTAGTGGAGAAAATCAAGGTAAGGAAGAGGAGCCTTGGCAAGCAGATGCCTCAGCCTCGAACAGAGATCTGAGGGGCCTCAGCCTCCTCCCCACAAAAGAGCTGAGGATGGGCGTCTTTCTTTGCTCTTCTGCCCACTATTCCCTCCTAGCAGGCTAGGATCCTGCCACCCTGGAGCCCATGGTCAAGAAAGGGAAAGCAGTTATGATGAGGTCCCTTGCAGAGAAGTGTGGAGGTTCTCCAAGCTCATGGCTATTCCCTAGATGTAGCCACTATGTAAAGGTCTCAAGGAAAGGCAGCAGGAGTGGAGGGCTGACCTCCTTTAACATGTGAAACACCTTTAGCTTGTGGCCTGTTTCCCAGTTCCTTTCTCTCCCTCCTACTTTTCAGCCTTTACCTACCTCCCAGTTCCTCTGATGTGAACCTCATGATTTGGCTTTCCCCTCTGGGGGTTCAGCCAATCTATGATGACTTTGAGCAAGAATATTTCTCAGAGACCTAAGAGCAGCCTTAATTCTTGGCTTTGACAGTCTGGGATTTCTTGGGAGTCCCAGACTTTTGAAATTCCCATACTGGGGTTTCTGGGGCTGAGAGAGGAACTGCTAAACTTCCTAAATCTTATTCTAGCCCCTTCACCCGAGCTAGAATTCAAAATCCTTGGTGCCCACGAAAGCCTTTCTGACTCCTGAAACAGATTCATTACACATATATATTAGCCCCATGAAAGTAGACTTGAGCCTGATTTTCCCCTTACCTTAATCTTTTTTTTGTTTTTGTTTTGTTTTGTTTTGTTTGTTTTTTTTTTTGAGACGGAGTCTCGCTCTGTCGCCTGGGCTGGAGTGCAGTGGCGCGATCTCAGCTCACTGCAAGCTCCGCATCCCGGGTTCCCGCCATTCTCCTGCCTCAGCCTCCCGAGTAGCTGGGACTACAGGCGCCCACCACCGCGCCCGGCTAATTTTTTTGTATTTTTTTAGTAGAGACGGGGTTTCACCGTGTCAGCCAGGATGGTCTCGATCTCCTGAACTCGTGATCCACCCGTCTCGGCCTCCCAAAGTGCTGGGATTACAGGCTTGAGCCACCGCGCCCGGCCCCTTACCTTAATCTTAGGGAGGGCAATAGCATCAAAGAGCCTCTTGAATTACTGGTATGACTCCTGCTCCTCTTCCTGCTTCTGGGCCTTAATTGGGAAAGCCACAAAGGATACTTTCCCCTCAGTGTTTCTAAGTGTACCTTTAAATATATTTTCCTCCATATAGCAAGTCCCTGGCCTCAAGAGGCAGCCTCAGCTGAATAAGCTGGGACCAGCGATGGATTTCCAACAAGTTCACTCATCCTTTTAGGGTCAAGGCTTCAAAACTAAGTGCCCTGTTCTTCCCTGATTAGTAACATCAAGTGATTTAGGGCAAGTCAGCACTAATAAAGGGAATAAGAAGATACCCTTTTCAGCCCTTCTAACCCTAGTAAACCCTACACTTAGTTGAAAGGACATATTTAAAACTGGCTCTGAGTCTACAAATCTCAACCCACAATCCTGAGATGCTCACTTCATGATATGTGTGTGGTGCCAATTTTAGGCAACATTTTCAGGTAACCATGGCTCACCTAAAGATCCCCAGCTGGGAAAACTCCGCTTCAAGCCATAAGGCTTTTTCTATAGATAGTGAACAAATTTCCTCAGGCTTTGACGGGATAAATGGGGAAAATGGGACTTTAGGAGAGGATATGAATGAGAAATGGTCCCAAAGTCCTGAGTGGTTGTTTTCTTCCCACTGACCAAAGCTGGAGAGGGATCCCTCAGGAGGGTGTGTTCCGGATTTCTTGCCTCAGGCCCAAGACTCCAACCATTTTATAATGGAATCTTTATTTTGTGAAAGTAAGTATGTACATAGCTGGGCAATTGGGTAAAGTACTAATAGGTGGACTTCAGGGATGAATTTTAGGCTTCCTCTCTCTCTCTTGCACTCTCTCTTTCTCTTTCTCTCTCTCTCTCTTCCATATTTAGGCCTGTGTGCACACATCCATGCATGTTCATGTTAGCAGATAATGTAGAAGGCTACCAGTATGTTTATCCCAATAGGTATGTTCTCTTTATATGTATCTACATATGTGCTGTGTCTCTGTGTGTGTTTATCTACATGTATTTTTATTTCACCTATGTATTTGTGCAGAAGATTGCGGGGAGGAGGGATTTTTTTTAGAAAGACATTCATATCTTTCCTTAGGTATGTTATCTGATTTCAAAAAACATTATGAAAGCCTCAAAAAGCATTTTTACAAAGCAATTTATCAAAAAATTAAAACAAATATACTGAGAATAAATTGATCACTTAACAGTCAGTGGACATCAAATAGTAAACATGTGATTGGAATCAGATCAATAGGAGACTTTCTGGAGTAATCAAATTTTTGCTGAATTTAGAAAGTCTAAGGGGCCCAATTCTTCCCTACTAAGATGGTGACCCCCAATTGGCTGGATAGGTGGTGGTGAAGGACATGGACACTTATTGTCTATGATGCTAGTTCCACACTAGCAGCTATGTAACCTTAGACAAGTAACATAACCTCTTTTGTACCTCAGTTGCCTCATCTGAAAAAATCATGATATTAGCACCTACTTCATATAGTTGTTGTGAAGATTAAATGAAATTATTCAGGCCGGGCGCGGTGGCTCAACCCTGTAATCCCAGCACTTTGGGAGGCCGATACGGGCGGATCACGAGGTCAGGAGATCGAGACCATGGTGAAACCCCGTCTCTACTAAAAATAGAAAAAATTAGCCGGGCGCAGGGGCGGGCGCCTGTAGTCCCAGCTACTCGGGAGGCTGAGGCAGGAGAATGGCGTGAACCCGGGAGGCGGAGCTTGCAGTGAGCCGAAATCGCGCCACTGCACTCCAGCCTGGGCGACAGAGCGGGACTCTGTCTCAAAAAAACAAACAAAAAAAAGAAATTATTCATTTCAAGTGCATAGAATAAAGCCTGGCACATAGTAAGTATTCAATTAATATCATTAGCTGCTGTGATGATTACTAATATTATCATTAGATTCAGGGACAATTCCAGTTGCCTTTCCTGCAGATCCTGAACCTGGCTGGGGGCTCCAGAGAGGACCAGTAGGGAAGAAGGTCTGTCCTGAACATCTGTCCCTTCTGCAGCCCCCATTTTTCTCTCCGCCCTGGCACGCCCAGCCCCAGCCCGGCTTCCTGTGGACGTCAGGCAGTGATGCTCTTCCCCTCAGGCCTAGATAAAGGTAGGGTAGGCAAGGCCCAGCCACTGAGCTCACGGAAGGCAGCACCAGGCATCCAGACTGGCGGGGGCGCAAGGTATGGTGCCCAGCATACAACACTGCCTTGTACATGGCTATGAAGGAAATATTTGTGAAATTTAACTGAATTTTTTTAAAAGATTAGGCAATGGACAGTAGATAACTCCAGCTCCAGCTTTACCTGCCCTCTTGTTCTCTCCTCCAAGGTAGCGGGGACTCATCTCTGGAGAAGGAGTTCCTCGGGGCCCCAGTGGGGCCCTCGGTGAGCACCCCCAACAGCCAGCACTCTTCTCCCAGCCGCTCACTCAGCGGTAAGTGTAACCTCCTACCACCTCCTGGCAGTAGGCACACCCTTTTGCGTTTGGCCTTCAGTTCACCTTCCACTGGCAACCATTTCCCCGTCGTCACCTCCTACTGGTCTCCTGCTTAGTCTGTAAGAGCAATAAGGAGACCAGTGTCTAGGGTTTTTCTGGCTTCTGAAAGGACACTGGCAGACTAGGGTGGAATTAAAAGAGGTATAGGTGGGATTAAGGTAAAGGTTTCAAAGAGAAATTATGGAATTAGAGAAGCAGGTAGATAGAAATGGTCATCAGGTGCAGTTAGATAGGAAATAGAGAGTAGAAGGACCTCCCCATCTCCCCACAGCCCATTCTCCTACCCAGACAGGGTCCCCATGACTGCTCCTCCCCAGCTGGCCCTAGATCTGTGACATTCTCTAAATGGTTGGAATAGCCAGGAATGTAGGTCGGAGCTAGAGCCAAAGCCTTCTCCTCAATGGTTCCTCCTTCCTTTATCCCTCCTGCCCTGCCTCAGAGTTTTATGGAGGTGGAGAGGGTAGAGGGGTTCAGTCTAATGGGGTGGGAGGGAACTGTAAGCACGTCTGTCTTCCAGTTTTGCTCTTTGGCCTGTTGTTCCCCTTCACTCTTCCTAGGTCCGTTTTCCCGCCACTCTTAACTTGCTGGCTTCCTGCCCAGGGCCAAGCCAGACATCTTTCTTAATGACAAGAGAGTAGAGAAAAAAGCTCCCCTTAGTCGCCTCCTCTCCTCAGTGACAGAAGACATCCTATGTACCCCCAACTTTTTACTTTTTGAGACAGAGTCTTGCTCTGTCGCCCAGGCTGGAGTGCAGTGGTGCGATCTCGGCTCACTGCAACCTCTGCCTCCCGAATTCAAGCAGTTCTCCTGCCTCAGCCTCCAAAGTAGCTGGGATTACAGGCATACACAACCATGCCTGGCTAATTTTTGTATTTTTAGTAAAGACAGTGTTTCACCATGTTGGCCAGGCTGCTCTCAAACGCCTGACCTCAAAAGAATCCACCGCCTCCGCCTCCCAAAGTGCTGGGATTACAGGCGTGAGCCACCACACCTGGCCCAACTTTTTTCTCTTGAAGCCTGTTTGCCTGGTGGGTGGGAGAAAAAGTTGTCTCAGATTCCAGCAGGATTCTGGTAGCAGCAGCAGGGATACTAGGGTGGTAGTTCCATTTAAGGCTTGAATGTCTCAGGGCCTAAAGACACCCTCTTAAACTTTAAGAGTGCCATTCTGGGCCGGGCGCAGTGGCTCACACCTGTAATCCCAGCACTTGGGAGGCCAAGGTGGGCAGATCACCTGAGGTTGGGAGTTTGAGACCATCCTGACCAACACGGAGAAACCCCATCTCTACTAAAAATACAAAATTAGCTGGGCATGGTGGCGCATGCCTGTAATCCCAGCTACTCGGGAGGCTGAGGCAGGAGAATCACTTGAATCCAGGAGGCAGAGGTTGCAGTGAGCCGAGATTGCGCCATTGCACTCCAGCCTGGACAACAAGAGCGAAACTCCATCTCAAAAAAAAAAAAAAAAAAAAAAAAAAAAAAGAGTGCCATTCTGGCCTGGGAGCAGCTTCCCCCTTTGCCTCTCTCTATTCTAAACACCATCCCACCCCTCAGCCAACTCCATCAAGGTGGAGATGTACAGCGATGAGGAGTCGAGCAGACTGCTGGGGCCAGATGAGCGGCTCCTGGAAAAGGACGACAGTGTGATTGTGGAAGATTCATTGTCTGAGCCCTTGGGCTACTGTGATGGGAGTGGGCCAGAGCCTCACTCCCCTGGGGGCATCCGGCTGCCTAATGGCAAGCTCAAGTGTGACGTTTGCGGCATGGTCTGTATTGGACCCAACGTGCTCATGGTGCACAAGCGCAGCCACACTGGTAAGTAAGCCAGAGGGTCTCTGGGAGGAGCTCCCAGGGTGGGGTTGAGAGGCAGGGGCAGTGCTGGGACAACAGCAGGGATGGGGCTGGAGGAGGCCATGCAGGGAGTGGGTAGCCTCAGAAAGGGAAGGGTCTCACCCAGCACATTTTCTAGCTGACAAAACGAGGCAGGGTGGGGGTGGGTGCAGAATTTAGTTCCCCTCAATACCTGTAGTTTCCTGGCACTTTCCTCAACTGCTGTTATAAAGAAAAGCTGATATTTTTCTCAGTATATGAGGGAGGGGAAAGTGTAAACTCAAGAATGAGCCAGTGGTCCAATAGGGGTTAGACTCCTGGGTATTCTTTGGGCCCTCTCAAAAAAAAAACAAAACCGGAAAACAAAAGCCTTCTCTTCTCAGCTTCCTCAGGCCTTGGGCTCCTAGGGCAGAGTGGGCCCTGTGGGGCTCAGTTTTTGGTAACAGTCTTTTGGCCTCGTGTTCCAGGCCCCTCTCCCTGCCACACACTTCTAATCCACACCTTCCCCACAGTAAGACCCAAGGGATCCCCAAGGGATCTTGATAAAGCAGGGTTTGTGTGCATTGCACTTCTGCCAGTCAGCAATGTGTTTAGAGCACCTTCCCTTGGGCGAGGTAGGACAGAGGGTGGGTCGACAGGTTCAGCCTTCCAAGTTCCTCACATGCAGTCCTCTGGGATTTGTTCTTTCACTTGCAGGTGAAAGGCCCTTCCATTGCAACCAGTGTGGTGCCTCCTTCACCCAGAAGGGGAACCTGCTGCGCCACATCAAGCTGCATTCCGGGGAGAAGCCCTTTAAATGTCCCTTCTGCAACTATGCCTGCCGCCGGCGTGATGCACTCACTGGTCACCTCCGCACACACTCAGGTCAGTGACTGTCCAGTGGGATGAGAGAATGAGGCTCCAACACACCCAGTATGTAGAGCTCAGTGACTTCTCTCGTATTTGGGGAGTTACGGTGTCTGTCATTGAGGAGGGGAGAGTATTTACAGAGCAGATAGGGCCCCCTGCCTCTCTCACTCATCCTCTGGGCAGCAAGGCCTCATGGGAAATTTGGGAGACACCTTGATGGGGTATTTTACATCCACCATATTCTGTGACTTGCAGCAAAAGGAATAGGGGCAATGTTCTTGGCTGTTAACAGTCACCCTTCCCTGACTTTTGTTTGTTTTTTGTTTTTTCAAGATGGGGTCTCACGCTGTTGCCCAGACTGGAGTGTAGTGGCGCAATTTTGGCTCACTGCAGACTTGATCTCCTGAGCTCAAGCCATCCTCCCACCTCAGCTTCCTGAGTAGGTGGGACCACACATGCCACCACACCCAGCTAATTTTTGTATTTTTTTCTTAGAGACAGGATCTCCCTATGCTGCCCAGGCTTGTCTTGAACTCTTGATCTCAAGCAATCGGCCTGCCTCAGCCTCCCAAAGTACTGGGATTACAGGCATGGCATAAGCCACTGTGCCTGGCCTTCCCTGACTTTTGTATTTTAGATTGTTGATGCTACAATCCATGCCCTATCACCCCCAACATCTAAGCCCCTGGGAGATCCCTCCTCTCACTCCCATCTGCCCCAGGCCCCACACCTGTCGTCATCTTCACCCTCCTTCCTCCCACACCACCAGAGGTCTTGGGCAACCAGTCTATCCTCTCCTTTACTTCCTACTGGCTCCTGGAAATATCCATGGGCCTCTCAAATTGCAAAAAAGGGAGCCTAGGACTTCCAAATAGGAAAAGAGTATCCTATTTCTGTTCCCTATCCCAAGAGGTTGTCACCTTCCCAGAGGCAAGAGAAAGTCCAGAGGGTGCCTAGAGATCAATGTTTGGAACAGTGCTGGGAAACTGGATTAACAAGGTTTTCTAGCCCAGTCAAGACTGTTTGAATCAATATCTGTCTGAATCAGCTGGACAGATAGCACTTTTTAGGCATTTTACTAAGCTTTAGGCTTTTGGCTTGGACTTGGGAAGAGGCCAGGAGCTGAGCTGGCAAGAAGGAGGGAGCTCAAGATTGGGAAAAGGCAGGAAGAATGGAAGGGGGAAAGAATTAGTAGGGTCTGTCCTTGGAAACTTTCCTGGCTATTTTTCTCTTTTCTTAAACTCTCCTGAGCCAGGATTTAAAGGGACAGAGCAATCATTTCACCACCTTCTACTTTCTCCATCCACTTACCTTGTTTCAGGTTCTCCCACCTTGTAATTGGGACCTCTTTATCTCTATGTATGTGGAGAAACAGGGAGAAAGATCATCGTTGATTCATGCTTTATATCTACAGAGCATGTCACTTATGTTTCTTCATGTGACCCTCATAACAATTCCAAGGTAGATGTGATTATCCCCATTTTGTTGACAAGGGAAATGAAGCTGTTGGGGGGAAAATGAGTTGCGGGTCACATAGCTATTCTGCAGCCTAGCTGGAACCCCATCAAGCTCCGGTGCCAGAAATATGTACTCCTTTTCCTCATAAAAGGGGCTGCTCCTCCTGCTGGTTTGGAACAAGGATGGCTTTGCACCTAGAATTCTTACCAACTATGCTGTAAGGTCAACTGGGTAGATTTTGGATTTTGATCTGTAGATTATTAACAACAGAAGCAGACACAGATATACTGTCAGGTCCCATCTCTGTGAAGTGCTTTCTGTTGCAACCCCTATTATAAGAAAAAAGAGACTGGATGCATGTTCTCACTCATGTGGGAGCTAAAACTGTCGATCCCATAGAAGTATGGAGTAGGCTGGGCGCAGTGGCTCACGTCTATAATCCCAGCACTCGGGGAAGCCAAGGCGGGTGGATTGCTTGAGCCCAGGAGTTTGAGACCAACCAGGGCAACGTAGTGAGACTCTGTCTTTGTTACAAACAAAAAGTTAGCCAGGTGTGGTGGCACACACCTGTAGTCCCAGCTACTAAGGACGCTGAGAGAGGGAGGATCACTTGAACCTGGGAGGTCAAGACTACAGTGACCTGTGATCATGTCTTTGTACTCCAGCCTGGGTGACAGAGTGAGACCCCTTCTTGGGGGGAAAAGAAAAGGCCAGGCACGGTGGCCCATGCCTGTAATCCCAGCACTTTGGGAGGCCAAGGCGGGTGGATCACCTGAGGTCAGGAGTTCGAGACCAGCCTGACCAACATGGAGAAACCCTGTTTCTACTAAAAATACAAAATTAGCCAGGGATGGTGGCGCATGCCTGTATTCATCGCTACTCGGGAGGCTGAGACAGGAAAATCACTTCAGCCCAGGAGGCAGAGGTTGTAGTGAGCCAAGATCATGCCACTGCACTCCAGCCTGGGCAACAAGGGCAAAACTCCATCTCAAAAAAAAAAAAAAAAGTAGAGAGTAGAACAGTGGTTACCAGAGGCTGACTGAGAAGGGTTGGGAGTGGGTGGACAGGGAGAGGCTGGTTAATGGGTAGAAGATTACAGTTAGATAGGAGGAATAAGTTGTAGTGTTCTACACCATAGTAGAATGACTGTAGTTAACATTAATTTATTGTATATTTCAAAATAGCTAGCAGAGATGATTTTGAATGTTCCCAACACAAAGAAATGATAAATGTTTGCCGGGCATGGTGGCTCACGCCTGTAATCCCAGCACTTTGGGAGGCCAAGGCAGATGGATCATGAGGTCAGGAAATCGAGACCATCCTGGCTAACACGGTGAAAACCTGTCTCTACTGAAAATGTAAAAAATTAGCTGGGCATGGTGTCAGGAGCCTGTAGTCCCAGCTACTCGGGAGGCTGAGGCAGGAGAATGGCGTGAACCCAGGAGGTGGAGGTTGCAGTGAACCGAGATTGTGCCACTGCACTCCAGCCTGGGCGACAGAGTGAGACTCTGTCTCCAAGAAAAAGAAGAAAAAAAGATAAATGTTTGAGGTGACAGATATGCCAGTTACCCCAATTTGATCATTACACATCGTGTACATGTATGAAAATATCATATGTATCTCATAAGCATGTATAATTATTATGTATCAATTATCAATTAAAATTTGAAAAATAAGAAAGCAGTTGGAGGATCATTCCTCTCCCAGATGTTAAACCGTTTCCCCAAGGGTCTTTGGGTGGACAGGGACCATGGTGTTCATTTCTTTTTTTTTTTTTTTTGAGACGGAGTCTCTATCTGTCGCCCAGGCTGGAGTACAGTGGTGCGATCTCGACTCACTGCAACCTCCGCCTCCCGGGTTCACTCCATTCTCCTGCCGAGTAGCTGGGACTACAGGCGCCTGCCATAATGCCTGGCTTAATTTTTTGTGTTTTTGGTAGAGATGGGGTTTCACCATGTTAGCCAGGATGTTCTCAATCTCCTGACCTCGTGATCCGCCCGCCTTGGCCTCCCAAAGTACTGGGATTCATGGTGTTCATTTCATCCCTAAAATACAAGGGTTTACAGAGCCTGAGTAAAATGAAGTAGGTTGATTTAGTCAAGGCCCAGTTTTGGCATGGCAGGGTTAAGGGTGAACAGTAATTACCAACTTCCTAGAGATACCTTCTCCTGTCTCCCTGCTCAATAGCAGCAAGATACATCAAATATACAATACCTTGTTTCTCTTCTCTCACAAATATGTCTTAAGAGTTATCTTTAAATAAAGTACCACTCTGTTTTCCAATTTTTTTTTTTCTTCGGTAGAAACAAGATCTTTATAACCTGTTCTTTTATTATAAGCACACAAACAAAACAACCCAAATTTGGTGTTCTCTTTTTTTTACTCTTGTTTATTTTATTCTCTGTTCTTTTATTCCTTTTCTCTTTTCAGAATTACTCCATCAGTGATGGGCTTTCTAGAGCTCTCTTGGTATCTCAGTGTAGAGAGACAGAAAGACAAAATAATCAGTAAACCAGGCTAGGGCTGGAGGTCAAAATACAAGTAAAGGTCAATGAAAACTGCCCCCTCCCCACATTGGCAGATCTAAGGGCTCTCATTTCTGTCATGCCAGCCCACCAGTTTCCCCCAAACCAAAGCAGATAGTTCATAAAAAGCAAAAAATCCCCTTGTCTGATAAACAGCACTTACATCCGCCTGCCAAATGGAAAGGTTAAACCACAGTCTGGGCCCCAGTCTCTGAGATCCTGCAGTGGGGCCTGCCTGCCTGCTAGGGATGATCCCCTACAAAGTCCCTGGGTCCTCACTGCTTTTGAGCAGCAATTTGGCCATGTTGAACAAGCCCACCACCAGTCTGAAGCCACATGCTCTAGGATTCCCTTGCTCCCATAACTGCACATTATCCCTCATCATCAAATATGGTTCATCTGTTCATGGTTGCAGCTGAAGTTGGGGAATGAAAGACAAGCAGAAGAACTCAGTTTAGCAACATCCTTTCCTCCCCATGCCAGTGTATACTTGCTCTTGGCTGAATCTGCAGAGCCAGGGCACAGCGAGAAGTAGCTCTGATGCCATCTTTCCGCTCTCCTCCAGTCTCCTCTCCCACAGTGGGTAAGCCCTACAAGTGTAACTACTGTGGCCGGAGCTACAAACAGCAGAGTACCCTGGAGGAGCACAAGGAGCGGTGCCATAACTACCTACAGAGTCTCAGCACTGAAGCCCAAGCTTTGGCTGGCCAACCAGGTAGAGCTGTTGATGTACTACTGGGGAGTTAAAAGGGGATGGTGAGAGGGAGTGCTGGACAAGGGTGACTCCAGTATCTCCCGCACTGAGGGATGAAGTCTGTGGAACAGGGGATGGTTATCCCAGTAAATCTGCCAAACACCCCATTCTAGGTACCCCAGTTGGTGCAGAGCCTTGTCTGTGGTGGGTGCTTTAGGGAGATCGAGAGGTAGGGGAAGTTTGGGTCTATATCCTTGGCCTAATGGGAGAGAGAGAACACAAGAAGTAACCAAGGGCCAGATATGTATGATTGTCCCCAAATGATCTGAAATGTTGCTGGAGTGAGCTTAAGGTAGGGTAAACAGAGCCCAGTTTCCCAGGCATCTGGTATGACCTTCCTTGGTTACTGACCTGCTGGTTTTCTCCAGAGAAAGGCTGTGGGGCCAATGCCACCCCTACTCAACTGCTACTACTTGTCCTCACCTCCTTCCCACTAGGTGATGAAATACGTGACCTGGAGATGGTGCCAGACTCCATGCTGCACTCATCCTCTGAGCGGCCAACTTTCATTGATCGTCTGGCCAACAGCCTCACCAAACGCAAGCGTTCCACACCCCAGAAGTTTGTAGGTAAGAGTCCAGTTGGAAAGAGGTATCAGCTTTAAGCCACAGCTCAAATAAATCTGAGCTGTGTGGTCTGGAGATTTGGTTTAGGGAAAGAAAGCAGTCTGGTGGGCCGGGCGCGGTGGCTCACACCTGTAATCTCAGCACTCTGGGAGGCCGAGGCTGGCAGATCACGAGGTCAGGAGATTGAGGCCATCCTGGTTAACATGGTGAAACCCTGTTTCTACTAAAAATACAAAAAATTAGCCGGGCGTGGTGGCAGGCGCCTGTAGTCCCAGCTACTCGGGAGGCTGAGGCAGGAGAATGGTGTGGACCCGGGAGGTGGAGCTTGCAGTGAGCCAAGATCGCGCCACTGCACTCCAGCCTGGGCGACAGAGCGAGACTCCGTCTCAAAAAAAAAAAAAAGGAAAGAAAGCAGTCTGGTGGCCTCTGTTACTCAAAATCTATCCTCAGGACAGGAGGAAAGTAAAGAGGGAGGATGTACTCAAAGAGAGTGGAGAAGGGTTGGCACTGAAGACTTGTGGTGGTTTTAAGGCACAGGGTTGAGGGATCGGGCTGTCTCAGTTTTTTTTTGAGACGGAGTCTCGCTCTGTTAGCCAGGATGGTCTCGATCTCCTGACCTTGTGATCCACCCACCTCAGCCTCCCAAAGTGCTGGGATTACAGGCGTGAGCCACCGCACCCAGCCCAGGCTGTCTCAGTTTTTAAGAATAACAAGAACTTCAGTCTGTGTGGACCCTTAGAGAGTCAGAGAGAGGAAATAAGTATGTGGTTCCCCCTATCCCCAGCACTAGTCATTAGCTCTCTAAGGACCTGGAGCTTTATGGAGAGTAAGAAAATGAAGTATTACAAATCAGTGGCCTGGGACTGAGTCCTTCTCTAAGATTACAGCCTAGAGTCAGGGAGCAGTCCCCCAAAGGACCTGACCCTGGGAAAGTAAATGCAGCATAGTAAATAATGTTACACCCAGCCCTGCAGGTAGGAAAACAAAGAATCCTGAGGAGAGTGTAGGAATTCTCCAAACCCAGCCCTGCTGAGTTCCTCTTCTCCACAGGCGAAAAGCAGATGCGCTTCAGCCTCTCAGACCTCCCCTATGACGTGAACTCGGGTGGCTATGAAAAGGATGTGGAGTTGGTGGCACACCACAGCCTGGAACCTGGCTTTGGAAGTTCCCTGGCCTTTGTGGGTGCAGAGCATCTGCGTCCCCTCCGCCTTCCACCCACCAATTGCATCTCAGAACTCACGCCTGTCATCAGCTCTGTCTACACCCAGATGCAGCCCCTCCCTGGTCGACTGGAGCTTCCAGGATCCCGAGAAGCAGGTGAGGGACCTGAGGACCTGGCCGATGGAGGTCCCCTCCTCTACCGGGCCCGAGGCCCCCTGACTGACCCTGGGGCATCCCCCAGCAATGGCTGCCAGGACTCCACAGACACAGAAAGCAACCACGAAGATCGGGTTGCAGGGGTGGTATCCCTCCCTCAGGGTCCCCCACCCCAGCCACCTCCCACCATTGTGGTGGGCCGGCACAGTCCTGCCTACGCCAAAGAGGACCCCAAGCCACAGGAGGGATTATTGCGGGGCACCCCAGGCCCCTCCAAGGAAGTGCTTCGGGTGGTGGGCGAGAGTGGTGAGCCTGTGAAGGCCTTCAAGTGTGAGCACTGCCGTATCCTCTTCCTGGACCACGTCATGTTCACTATCCACATGGGCTGCCATGGCTTCAGAGACCCTTTCGAGTGCAACATCTGTGGTTATCACAGCCAGGACCGGTACGAATTCTCTTCCCACATTGTCCGGGGGGAGCATAAGGTGGGCTAGCAACCTCTCCCTCTCCCCTCAGTCCACCACTCCACTGCCCTGCCTACAGGCATCGATCCCTGTCCCCACCATTTCCCAAGGAGTTTTGCTTTGTAGCCCTCACTACTGGCTACCTGACCTCACGCCTGACCCTGACCCCTCCTCACCTATTCTCCTCCTCTATCCTGACCGATTTAAGCATTGTGATGAAACAGGTCTTTTGCTTATGTTTTTCCTTTTTCTCTTCTCTCATCCCAGCATACTATTTATTAATTAGTTGATTTATTTTTGCCTTTTTTTTTTTTTTAACTTATATCAGTCACTTGCCACTCCCCCACCCTCCTGTCCACAGCTCCTTTCCACTTTAGGTCAATTTTTCTCTCTTAGATCTTCCAGCAGCCCCAGGGGTAGGAAGCTCCTCTTAGTACTAAGAGACTTCAAGCTTCTTGCTTTAAGTCCTCACCCTTTACATTATCTAATTCTTCAGTTTTGATGCTGATTTACCTCCCCCCAGCCCTACCTTAGCTCTGTGGCATTATATCTCCTCTCTGGGACTCTTCAACCTGGTACTCCATACCTCTTGTGCCCTCTCACTTTAGGCAGCTTGCACTATTCTTGAATGAATGAAGAATTATTTCCTCACTTGGAAGTAGGAGGGGCTGAAGAAATTCTCCCCAGGCACTGTGGGACTGAGGGTCCTCTTGATGTTCCCCTAGTAATATGAGTTTTCAAAGCCTACATTCAGGATCTCCCTCTAGGATGTGACAGATCTGGTCCCTCTCCTTGAACTACCCCTCCACACGCTCTAGTCCCTTCAACCTACCGGTCTATTCAGTGGTGGCTTTTCTCTCCTTGGAGTGCCCCAATTTTATATTCTCAGGGGCCAAGGCTAGGTCTATAACCCTCTGTCTCTGACACATTGGGAGCCTCAGGTGCCTAATTGGGAACCAGGGCATGGGAAAGGGGTGGGTCAAAATTCTTCTCTTTCTCCTCCACCTCTCAAACTTCTTCACTATAGTGACCTTCCTAGGCTCTCAGGGGCTCCTTCAGTCCCCATCCTATGAGAAACTAGTGGGTTGCTGCCTGATGACAAGGGGTTATCTCAGCCCCTCAGTCATGCTGCCTTCTGCTGCTCCCTCCCAGCAGGGTTCACCCTCTCATTCCCGGGCTCCTGGGCCCTGTTCTTAGGATCAGTGGCAGGGAGAAACGGGTATCTCTTTTCTCTCTTCTAATTTTCAGTATAACCAAAAATTATCCCAGCATGAGCATGGGCATGTGCCCTTCACCCCATTCCACCCTTGTTCCAGCAAGACTGGGATGGGTACAACTGAAATGGGGTCATCCTTTACTACCCCCTTCTACACTCAGCTCCCAAACACAGGGTAGGAGAGGGTACTCCTGGCTACTGCAGAGACCCCTGGCTATTTGAGTAACCAAGGATTAGTGAGAAGGGGCAGAAGGAGATACAACTCCACTGCAAGTGGAGGTCTCTTTCTACAAGAGTTTTCTGCCCGAGGCCACAGCCATCCCACTCTCTGCTTCCTTGAGATTCAAACCAAAGGCTGTTTTTCTATGTTTAAAGAAAAAAAAAAAGTAAAAACCAAACACAACACCTCACAAGTTGTAACTCTTGGTCCTTCTCTCTCTCCTTTTCTCTTCCCTTCCTTCCCCTTCCATCTTTCTTTCCACATGTCCTTTCCTTATTGGCTCTTTTACCTCCTACTTTTCTCACTCCCTATCAGGGATATTTTTTGGGGGATGGTAAAGGGTGGGCTAAGGAACAGATCCTGAGATTAGGGCCTTAAGGGCTCTGAGAGGAGTCTACCTTACCTTCTTATGGGAAGGGAGACCCTAAAAAACTTTCTCCTCTTTGTCCTCCTTTTTCTCCCCCACTCTGAGATTTCCGCAAGAGAACCAGATTGGCAGGGAGAAGCATTGTGGGGTGATTGTTCCTCCTTGACAATGTAGCAATAAATAGATGCTGCCAAGGGCAGAGAATGGGGAGGTTAGCTCAGAGCAGAGTGGTCTCTAGAGAAAGGAAGAATCCTCAACGGCACCCTCGGGTGCTAGCTCCGTTTTAGAATGTCAGCAGAGCTGAGATTAATATCTGGGCTTTTCCTGAACTATTCTGGTTATTGAGCCTTTCCTGTTAGACCTACCCCCTCCCACCTCTTCTGTGTCTGCTGTGTATTTGGTGACACTTCATAAGGACTAGTCCCTTCTGGGGTATCAGAGCCTTAGGGTGCCCTCATCCCCTTCCCCAGTCAACTGTGGCACCTGTAACCTCCCGGAACATGAAGGACTATGCTCTGAGGCTATACTCTGTGCCCATGAGAGCAGAGACTGGAAGGGCAAGACCAGGTGCTAAGGAGGGGAGAGGGGGCATCCTGTCTCTCTCCAGACCATCATTGCACTTTAACCAGGGTCTTAGGTACAAAATCCTACTTTTCAGAGCCTTCCAGCTCTGGAACCTCAAACATCCTCATGCTCTCTCCCAGCTCCTTTTGCATAAAAAAAAAGTAAAGAAAAAGAAAAAAAAAATACACACACACTGAAACCCACATGGAGAAAAGAGGTGTTTCCTTTTATATTGCTATTCAAAATCAATACCACAAACAAAAAAATTTCTAAGTAGACACTTTTCCAGACCTTTGTTTTTTTGTGTCAGTGTCCAAGCTGCAGATAGGATTTTGTAATACTTCTGGCAGCTTCTTTCCTTGTGTACATAATATATATATATAAATATATATATTTTTAATCAGAAGTTATGAAGAACAAAAAGAAAAAATAAACACAGAAGCAAGTGCAATACCACCTCTCTTCTCCCTTACTCTTAGGGTTTCCTTTGTAGCCTATGTTTGGTGTCTCTTTTGACCTTTACCCCTTCACCTCCTCCTCTCTTCTTCTGATTTCCCCTCCCCCACTTTTTTAAAGAGTTTTTCTCCTTTCTCAAGGGGAGTTAAACTAGCTTTTGAGACTTATTGCAAAGCATTTTGTATATGTAATATATTGTAAGTAAATATTTGTGTAATGGAGATATACTACTGTAAGTTTTGTACTGTACTGGCTGAAAGTCTGTTATAAATAAACATGAGTAATTTAACACCTCTGGTTGTTTTTGCAGACTTCCTTCGCCTTGATTTTCTACTAAGAGGGAAGGGTCCTCCTTGCAGTATGTTATACCAACTACTGAACAGTTTAGGAGGTGAACAAAAACGAAGAATTTTCAGCCTAGACTGGGAAATGGAGGAGATTTTCCTACCAGGAAGGAGTGCCTTCAGGATAGGAGAGAAAGTCTGACTTGCCTGTCTACCCAAAGTAGAAATTAATCAAACATTTGTTGAGTACCTACTGTGCACAAAACACATTCTATGCCCAGGGTAAAATAATGTGAATGATGATAATCATAGGGTCTACCACTGCTTGAGCATCTCATAAATGCTAAGTACTCATTGAATTGTAGAAACACCTACAAAAGGATGATCACAATTATTCGTGAAAAAATAAAAGCCCAAGAGAGAATAAATACCTTGTCCAAGGCTCATCAGCCAGTAAGTGACAGAACCAGAATTTGAACCCAGGGGCGTGTGACTCCAAAGCATGTGCTCATCCCTTTACACCAGGAAATGCAGCCAGTGAAACCCCTAAGCTAGAAAAATCCAAAGTAGGAACATCAATTTGTTTCTGTCTTAAATAGTAACTATTTTCTGTTCCCTTTACTCTGAACTTTTTTCTGTTCTCTTCCATCTACCTCATTGCTATTCCATATAGTAATGTCTGCCTTCTGTTTTCCATGAGATTACAGTGAAGTGACTCCTATCTAGAGTCTATTATTTTCCATGTCCCATTGAAACTGGCAAATTCAAAGTCAAAACAGACAGGAAAGCTGGGAGTGGTGGAGCACACCTGTCATCCCAGCTACTTGGGAGGATCACTTGAGCCTAGGAGTTTGAGAACAGCCTCAGCAACACTGGGCAACACCATCTCTACAAGAAATTTTAAAATTAGCTAGGCACTGTGGTACATGCCTGTAGTCCCAGCTACTCGGAAGGCTGAGACAGCAGGATCACTTCAGCCCAGGAGGTCGAGCCTGCACTGAAGTGTGATCACGCCACTGCAGCCTCCAGACCCATCTTAAAAAAGAAAAAAAAGGGCTGGGCACGGTGGCTCACGCCTGTAATCCTAGCACTCTGTGAGGCCAAGGCAGGCAGATCACGAGGTCAGGAGATCAAGACTATCTGGCCAACATGGTGAAACCCCATCTCTACTAAAATACAAAACATTAGCTGAGCATGGTGGCATGTGCCTGTAGTGCCAGCTACTTGGGAGGCTGAGGCAGGAGAATCGCTTGAACCCAGGAGGCGGAGTTGCAGTGAGCCGAGATCAAGCCACTGCACTCCAGCCTGGGCGACAGAGCAAGACTCCATCTCAAAAAAAAAAAAAAAAAAAAGGCTGAGCAAAATGGCTCACACCTGTAATCCTGGCACTTTGGGAGGCCGAATCAGGTGGATATCCTGAGTTCGAGACCAGCCTGGGCAATATGGCAAAACCCTGTCTCTACTAAAAATACAAAAATTAGCTGGGGCCGGGTGCAGCGGCTCACACGTATAATCCCAGCACTATGGGAGGTTGAGGTGGATGGATCATGAGGTCAAGAGATCGAGACCATCCTGGCCAACATGGTGAAACCCTGTCTCTACTAAAAATATAAAAATTAGCTGGGCATGGTGGTACACACCTGTAGTCCCACCTACTTGGGAGGCTGAGGCAGGAGAATCGCTTGAACCCAGGAGGCAGAGGTTGCTGTGAGCTGAGATGGCGCCACTGCACTCCAGCCTGGGTAACAGAGCAAGAGTCTGTCTCAAAAAAAAAAGAAAAAAAAGGAAAAAGAAAGAAAGAAAACAGATTTTAGCACCAAAAAGTGGGTTAAAGGTTAAAAGAAACCATGATGCCCGATGGGTTGCTGGAGGGAAGGTGAATCTGGTGTGTTCAGACTCTAGAGTGAGTCATGAACGAACAATGGTTTCCATCTGTACCATCCTGGGTTTCAATGCTAGGAGGCCCCCTTGCCACCCTAGTGTCTTCAGCTTTGGAGACAACTGGGTGGTTGGCTGTCTGTGGACAGCCATTCCTGCTCAAGGCTGAAGCTTTCTTTTTTTCTTTTTTTTGAGACAGAGTTCTGCTCTGTTGCCCAGGCTGTAGCACAGTAGCCCAATCTCAGCTCACTGCAACTTCCGCCTCCCAGGTGCAAGCAATTCTCTTGTCTCAGTCTCCCGAGTAGCTGGGATTACAGGTGTGTGCCACCAGGCCTAATTTTTGTATTTTTAGTACAGATGGGATTTCACCATGTTGGCCAGGCTGGTCTCAAACTCCTGACCTCAGGTGATCTGCCCGCCTTGGCCTCCCAAAGTGGTGGGATTACAGGCATAAGCCACTGCACCCAGCCTAAGGCTTAAGTCTTTCTGATGGCTCTCCTCCAGAGGTAAATGGAGTTTATACACAAGAATCTTTCACTTAGGGGTCAGACTCACTAATCAGTGGTGAAATAACTTTCATGGTTTTTGATCAGCATTTATTAAAATAAAATAGAGAACAGAAAAATATAGAGAATAGAACATACCAGCACACCTATGACAAGGGTAAGTATCGTTTCATGAAGCTTGTGTTTCAGTTCTGCATGTGCATGTAATCATGTTTGTGTGTACCGGGTACCAGTGTAAAATGTATTCGTGTTGAAAAACGTTTAAGTCATTAGTCCAGGCTATTTCCTCCACCCACTTGTTAGGTGACATACAGCATAGTACAGTGGAGCCAGAATACCTACTGCACCTCAATTCTTCAATCTTTTTTTAAAAATTGATTTATTTATTTTTGAGACAGAGTTTCGATCTTGTTACACAGGCTGGAGTGCAGAGGCTCACTGGAACCTCCGCCTCCCAGGTTCGATTCTCCTGTCTCAGCCTCCTGAGTACCTGGAATTACAGGTGCCCACCACCACGCCCGGCTAAATTCTTCAACTTTTAAAGTGAGGATAATAATAGTACCTGCCTACAGGCTTGCTCAAAGTTAAATGAGTTAATATTTATAAAGGCGCTTACCACAGTGCCAGGCACTGTGCCAACAGGGTCCAGAGATTTAAAAATGAATGAGAAATAGCCCCAGCCTCAATGCACTTCATTGTGGGGTTTTCTCCATATTGGAAGGAGGGATTCACAAAATGCTTGTTTCCTCTCAGGCCTTCCTCTTCGTAATCCTACACCTACCTAGTAGCAGGACTGTCAGAGAAATGAGCCCAGGGCGTCCCCCGGTGGCGCAGCGCCGCCTTCGGTCTAAGGACTTGGGGCCAGAGGCGCCTCTTGGCTTCGCACTACAATTCCCACCAAGCATCTCTCCCTCTCTGGCCTCTAATAAGGAGTGCGCCTTGTGGTCCAGCGTCGGGCAACTTCCACGCCTACCGTCGCGTAAACCGGAAAACTGCGTCGTCCAGCATTGCGTCTGGTGCGGCGCGGCGCAAGGCTTGCTGGGAGACACATAACCTCGATTTTCTTCCGCCAGCCGGCTAAATAGTCCCATGTGCACATTGTTCCACAGATAAATAAACACTAGGAACGCATTTTCACCCTAGATTTCAGCAGAAATGCTGAATATAAGGGAATATTTGAGTAAAGTGAGTTGCTATTCTTGACGCCCGTCTCCTAAGGATTCTCTCGGTGTGCGCGTAGGGATCTCATGCTATATAAGAGGGCTCTGCCAGGCATCGCCTCCTTTCTTCGGTCCGTAAGTCCGAAATGGTGAGTCCTGTCGCGTGGTGAGGATGGGGGTTCGGGTGCAGACCCCGGGATTGTGGGGATTTGAGATCCTGGAACACAGCTGAGGGGTGGACAGTGTACATTTGCTCTGAGGCTTGGCGGGATTTGCGGAGAAACAGGAGATCCGAGCGGCGCCTTCCTGTAGGCTCCCGGTGCGGCCTGTGGCCGGAAAGGGGCTGAGGCTGGGTAAGTTGCGCCGCCTTCCTAACAGGTTTTCCGTCCTGATGCAGACAAAGAAAAGAAGGAACAACGGTCGTGCCAAAAAGGGCCGCGGCCATGTGCAGCCTATTCGCTGCACTAACTGTGCCCGATGCGTGCCCAAGGACAAGGCCATTAAGAAATTCGTCATTCGAAACATAGTGGAGGCCGCAGCGGTCAGGGACATTTCTGAAGCGAGCGTCTTTGATGGTGAGTGGATCACCGGCTAGAACTGCTTGAGGATCCCAGTACCTTAAAAGCCTTCACCCAACCTCGCCCTTCTGCAGGCTCTGTTCGTTGGAGGCTCTCAGGCACTTTCCACGTATGTAAGGTTGTTGGTGGTAGAAAAGAATATTATGTGCTCATGTTTGTCGTTTTGATTCTTTTCTGGGCAGAAGGTTAGTTTTTGTGATAGAGCGCACAGCCTTTACTCTGAGGTAAAGTTTGTCTGTTTCGGTTATGAGATTCCAAAAACTAGAAACTTGGTAAATTTGACAATTTTTATACTATGATTATTTGAGTACTTGTGAAAATGTACAGGTGAGGAAGAATGTCTTCAACGTTTCGAGAATGGAGGCAGTCTAGTTTGGTGTGAAAGGATGATGTTTGGAGCCATAAGAACGTCGCTTTGTTTCTTTTCCTTAAGTTATTTTTATAGAAAGAGCAAAGTTCAGGGTAGGCATTAGGGCGGGTGTAGCTGTAGAAGGAACTGGATTATTGGTTTATTGCATCTAGAGTGTCAGTCTGGTCTTTGTAGTGTCAAGATGAACACGTGCTCAAGAACAGGGGCTTTGGGGGTGCTTTTATGTGCGGGACAGGCATTTAAATAGGTTTAGTTTTAATTGATGTAAACATGTAAGATCATGTAACAAAAAAGCAAGGTAGGTGTATAATACTAGTATAACTCTATTTTCTATTCCTTAGCCTATGTGCTTCCCAAGCTGTATGTGAAGCTGCATTACTGTGTGAGTTGTGCAATTCACAGCAAAGTAGTCAGGAATCGATCTCGTGAAGCCCGCAAGGACCGAACACCCCCTCCCCGATTTAGACCTGCGGTGAGTATTTAAAAAGAATGGAAGCCAGGGGAGTGTTGGTTTAAAAAATTTCATTCTGGCGGGTCACGGTGTCCTATGCTTGTAACCTCACACTTTGGGAGGCCGGGGCAAGAGGATTGCTAGAAACCAACAGTTCAAGACCCCATGTTTTCAAAAAATATTCAGAAGGAAGCCAAGCATGATAGTGCGAACCTATAGTCCCGGCTGCTCGAGAGGCTGAGGCAGGAGGGTCACTTGAGCCCAGGAGTTTGAGGTTGCAGTGAGCTACGATTATACCACTTGCACTCCAGCCAGGGCAAAAGTGAGACCTTATCTCTTAAATAAAAAAAAGTTGCATCCTCCTGTGGTGCAGGGGATATAAGATTAAGGTCTCTGCCTCAGGTTAAGCTGTAAGGCAGGTGAGACCCACACCTGAACATGCTTAGAGACATGGCAGAGTAGTGTTCTCCCTCCACCTCTACCAGCTTCCCATGCATTTGTAGCTTGAATACATTGTTAGTGAGAGGATGGTGATCAAGTTCTTTCGGGGAAGGGAATCTTGAATCCATGGGTTTTAATTTACTGTTTTGTTTCTTTGTCTTTCAGGGTGCTGCCCCACGTCCCCCACCAAAGCCCATGTAAGGAGCTGAGTCCTTAAAGACTGAGACAGACTATTCCCTGGAGAAAAATAAAATGGAAATTGTACTTAATATCGCATGTTAAGTGTATCTGTGCCAGATAGGGTGGGGGTTTTGTGTGTGTTAGACCAGGTGTGATGTGACACGTACTACTTTGATGGGGAGGAAAGTTTATTTGAGTTTTTTTTTTTTTTTTTGAGACAGTCTGTTGCCCAGGCTGAAGTGCAGTGGTGCGATCTCAGCTCACTGCAACCTCCGCCTCCCAGGTTCAAGTGATTCTTCTGTCTCAGCTTCCTGAGTAGCTGGAATTACAGGCGTCTGCCACCACGCCCGGCTAATCTTTGTATTTTTGGTAGAGACGGTTTCACTATGTTGGCCAGGCTGATCTTGAACTTCTGACCTCAGTTAATCCACCTGCCTTGGCCTCCCAAAGTGCTGGGATTATAGGCTTGAGCCAACCTCACCCAGCTAAGGTTTAAATTTATGTAAATTTAAACCTTAAATTGTTTGTGATCATATCCTTGACCTCAATTTGCATAGCTGTGTAAAATAAAGGGAGATTTATTTTGTGAATTTTAGATTTAACCGCATCAAGTTTAAGTTGACATCCTAAAAATGGATAAACATTAGGAGAATGAGGAAAAGCTATTAGTTGAGTGAGGAGCACATTGGGAAGTGACTTAAACTGAGGTGTTTATACCCCTGGAGGGGGGGGCGAGTTGAATAATAGGTATATGACTTTGGATAGCTTCAGAGCATAAAAGGATTAATGTCCACTTGGAAAAGACACTAAAGGTATTTCTTTTTTTTCTTTTCTTTTCTTTTTTTTTTTTTTGAGACAGTCTTGCTCTGTAGCCCAGGCTGGAGTGCAGTGGCTGGATCTCAGCTCACTGCAAACTCCGCCTCCCAGGTTTACCCCATTCTCCTGCCTGGGCCTCCCGTGTAGCTGGGACTACAGGTGCCCGCCACCGCGCCCGGCTAATTTTTTAAATGTATTTTTAGTAGAGACGGGGTTTCACCGTGTTAGCCAGGATGGTCTCGATCTCCTGACCTCGTGATCCACCTGTCTCGGCCTCCCAAAGTGCTGGATTTACAGGTGTGAGCCACCGCGCCCGACCTTTTTTTTTTTTTAAGACGGTATTTCGCTCTGTCGCCCAGGCTGGAGTGCAGTGGTGCAATCTTGGCTCGCTGCAAACTCCGCTTCCCAAGTTCACACCATTCTCCTACCTCAGCCTCCCGAATAGCTGGGACTGCAGGCGCCTGCCACCATGCCTGGCTTATTTTTTGTGTTTTTAGTAGAGACGGGGTTTCACTGTGTTAGGATGGTCTCGATCTCCCTGTGATCTGCCCATCTTGGTCTCCCAAAGTGCTGAGATTACAGGCATGAGCCACCACACCCAGCCTACTAAAGGCATTTCTAGAAACATGAGACATCCTGGAAAGTATAGAGAAAGGCTCTACCTTATTTATTATTTATTTATTTTTTTTGAGACGGAGTCTCTTGTCACCCAGGCTAGAGTGCAGTGGCATGATCTCGGCTCACTGCAACTTCCGCCTCCCTGGTTCAAGTGATTCTCCTGCCTCAGCCTCCTGAGTAGCTGCGATTACAGGCGCGCGTCACCAAGCCCGGCGAAGTTTTGTGTTTTTAGTAGAGATGGGGTTTCATCATGTTGGTCAGGCTGATCTTGAACTCCTGACCTCATGATCTGCCCGCCTCGGCCTCCCAAAGTGCTGGGATTACAGGTGTGAGCCACCACGCCCAGCCACTACCTTATCTTTGTGTAACAATAGTTTTATTTGTTCTAGAATTCAGGAAAAAAATCTCTTTAGGAGTGAATTGTTGTTACTGACTTTGCCGGTGAAAGGTAACACTCCTGACCTCAAATGATCCACCCGCCTCAGCTTCCCAAAGTGCTGGGATTATAGGTGTGAGCCACCGCGCCCAGCCTAAGAAAGGGGTAGAGTATTTCAGAATGTGCAGGTTGTCCTGTTAATTGGAATGCACTCCCCCACAGAAATCCCAGACAGGAACTGCTGACCTGACTTGACTCAATATACCAGTGTATGTACTGAAATAGCTGTGGCAAATCCTGAGTCTGGAAGAGCACTGAATGTAGGCGATAATCTACATCCTTTAGAGAGGCTCAAGACATCAGTGTTCCTTTATACTGTAGTAACCTGATCACACGAAGGGTAAATAGGAAGTGATAGAAGAAAATTAGAGGTCCAAGGCAAAAATGGGTACTGAATCTGAGTGATCCCAAAGTCCAGCTTGCTTAACAGAACCAGATTCAAATAGTAAATCGTGGTTGTGGGTGTACTTACAGAGCTGATCCAAGATTCCTCTTGAAGTGTCTAGCGGCACAGCCTGTCACATGGGTCCTAACTACTATCTCTTCTATGAGTTTACAAACTCACAACATACTCTACGTTCTAAGTGCAGAGTATGTTGTTTGATTCTGTCTCTGGATTCTACTTTCAAGAACCTAGCTGGTAAGAATTGACTTAGTTTTTCATCTTGATAATCCCAAACTTTGTTTTTGAGACGGAGTCTCTGTTACCCAGGCTGGAGTGCGGTGGCCCAATCTCGCTCACCGCAACCTCTGCCTCCCGCGTTCAAGCGATTATCCTGCCTCAGCCTCCCGAGTAGCTGGGATTACAGGCGCCCGCCACCACACCTGGCTAATTTTTGTATTTTTAGGAGAGATGTGGTTTCACCATGTTGTCCAGGCTGGTCTTGAACTCCTGATCTCAAGGGATCATCCCGCCTCAGACTCCCAAAGTGCTGGGATTATAGGCGTGAGCCACCGCGCCTGGCCAGGAATCTGCATTTTAATAGTGTCCCAAGTGATTCTGATGCAACTGGTCTGCGGACTATACTGCAGAGCAGATGGTGAAAGGAATGTTGAATTTGGAGGATTTTATTGATGATGAATCCTGGGTTCCAGAAAGCTGCGAAAACGTTTCAGAAGATGGGTAACAGTGCAAATGGGGTCAGAAAGGGCTGCATGAGAACCAGAATCTGAGAGATGTGGAATGAGCTGGAAGCCTGGGCTTCTGGTGGTGACTGCATGAACAGGTGCAGCTGAGCCCTGGTGAACATCATGCTCACAAGCCAAGTGTGCAGTGTGACCTGGAGTCCCAACTCACTATCTGCAGGTCCAGGGACCCTGACTTCACAGCTGCCTCCCAAGGCTATTTTCCTAACCTCTCTACTCTCTTAGATCAGTGTTGCACTCATCGTTTCTGAAATATGATAATGTGTAGGAAAGCAGCAAGGTGAGATAGGCCCAGAAACATTGGGAGGGGTGCGGGGAGCACTAGGAAAGGAGATAGATTGGGGTGGGGAGGAGGAATACAGTCTCCCTCCCACATCCTTGGACCCCAAAAAGAAGTTCTGAAGACACATCCTTTTTTCTAGTATAAGGCACTATTTACCCTGATCCAGGCACTCTGAGTGAAAGGTGACTTCCGGACCAGGCGCCTTGGCTCACGGGTGTAATCCCAACACTTTGGGAGGCCGAGGCAGGTATGTCACCTGAGGTCAGGAGTTTGAGACCAGCCTGACCAACACGGGGAAAACCCATCTCTACTAAAAAATAAAAAATTAACTGGGCGTGGTGGCTCGTGCCTATAATCCCAGCTACTTGGGAGGCTGAGGCAGGAGAACAGCTTGAAGCCGGGAGCAGAGGTTGCAGTGAGCCGAGATCGTGCCACTGCACTCCAGCCTGGCAAGAAAGAAGTGCGAAATTCTTTCTCAAAAAAAGAAAAAGAAAATTAGGTGACTTCCTCAGGCTACAGTTAAAGATGATGTCATGGGTAGGAAGCCAGGCCTCACTGATGTTAGTACCTCGGGATGACCATAGAGGGCAGTATCGTGCAGGAGTTAAGAGCCCAGCTTCAGCGTCTGACAGACCTGAGTTTGAATCCTTCCTTTGCTCTTTGGTAGCTTTGTGTGTAGCTTTGGGTAAGTTACTCTATCTAAACCTCCAAAAATTCATTTAAAAACACTTCACAAGAGCATTTTGAGAACTACATGAAATAATCTATGCAAAGGACTTTGCAAAGAACCTGCCAGCGAATGCAACATTACAAATGGCAGTGGTTACTATTTTTGGCCCAGTCTTACTCTTTGTAAGTCTTAAAAAAAAACAATGTTTTTTTGCAGATTTATTGAGGATAATTGAAGTACAATACATTGTAGGTATTTAAAGTGTACAATTTGAAAAGTTTTTTGATTGTTTTTTTGATACAGACTCTCACTCTGTCACCCAGGCTGGAGTGCAATGGCGCAATCTCGGCTCACTGCAACCTCCACTTCCCGAGTTCAAACAATTATACTGCCTCAGCCTCCCAAGTAGCTGGGATTACAGTCATGTGCCATCACGCCCGCTAATTTTTATATTTTTAGTAGAGATGGGGTTTCACCATATTGTCTAGGCTGGTCTGGAACTCCTGACCCCATGATCTGCCTGTCTCCGCCTTCCAAAGTGCAGGGATTACAGGCATGAGCCACTGTGCCTGGCCAAAAAGTTTTGACATATGTGTATACCCATGAAACCATCACCATACTCAAGATAATTAGCATACAGATCACCCCAGAAGTTGTCTCTTGCTCCTTTGTAATCTCACCATCCTGCCACTCCCAGCACTGTCCCCAGGCAACTATTGACCTGCTTTCTGCAACTATAGATTAGTTTGCATTTCTAGAATTGTAGAATTGTACATAAATGGAATCCTACAGTGTATATGTGTGTATACTAAAAACATATAAATTAGCTGGGCATGGTGGCAGGCGCCCGTAATCCCAGCTACTCTGGAGGCTGAGGCAGGAGACTTGCTGGAACCCGGGAGGTGGAGGTTGCAGTGAGCCCAGATCGCGCCACTGCACTCCAGCCTGGGTGACAGTGAGACTCAAAAAAAAAAAAAAAAAAAACACCATTGCTACAAACATTTGTGTACAAAGTCTGTGTGGACATATGCTTTCTTTTCTCTTGTGTAAATATAGTCATGTGTCCTCAAGCACAGGGATATGTTCTGAGAAATTCATCCTTAGGCAATTTTGTCATATG